GCAGTGCTCACCAGGCGGCGGGCCTCGGAAGGATTAGGTAATGGGTGCAGGGTGTTGTCATGGGGTCAGGGGAAGGTTCTGAAACGGGAGCGGGCAGTTGCGCAATGCTGAGTGCCCTAAATGTCACGGGCTGTCTGCTTCATGATCATGGCCTGTTGGGTAGGCTTCACCTTGATCTGTTTTGTTTATAGATTTTGAGATGGGGTCTTGCTGTGTTGCCCAGCTGACCTCAAACTCCTGGGCTCGAGTGACCCTCCCGCCTCAGCCTCGGGAGCAGCTGGGACAGCAGCTGTGCACCACTGCACCTGGCCACCTGGATTCTGAAGAGGAGTGACAACAAGTAACACGTCTGGCCTGCTGGGAAAGTGGGACACTGAGGAAAGGGGCCCACTCAGGGTGCACTGGCCTCCATGTCCCCTCGTGAGACCCTGCTCTGCCCTGGAGTCTGCCCTGCAGTCTACTTGGGCGACTCCTAGGGTCCCCACCACCAGAAATGTGACTACCAGGGAAAAGGAGCAGCCCCTCCCCTTCGCCTGTACCCCGAGGCCCTGCTGGCAGTGAGTGCCCCCCAGATCCTGCCTGGCCCTCCCTCCCTCCCCGGGCCAGGCTGGCTTCCCACCTTCCGACCACGGTGCCAGTGCGAGGGGCACCCTCGAGGGGCTGGCGTGGAAGAGCGTTCACTTCAGGGTGCCAGCAGCCCCAGGGGGTTGGCCCACAGGGGGAGGGTGCCTTCCCCAGCAGACAGGCCGGGAGCGGGGTGTCCAGCCCCCGCTGAGACCCTAACTGCCCGGCTCTGCTGCTCCAATCTCTGACCCTTGGACACGGTGAGATGGTAACTGCTGGCTCTAAGCCACTGAGTTCTGGGGTGATTTCTTATGAGGGACAGGAAATGAACACGAGTCCTACGTCCGAAGATCTCGCCACCAGGCCCCACTGCCGGCTGGGTGGGCTAGCCCAGGCTGGCTGCCACCCAGCCCCTCTCCCAGAGCCCAGGCTTCACTGCGAGACTGGGATGGGGCAGCAAGAGTCGTCCACACTGCCGTTCCATGGGGTCTCTGCTGCAGAAGAGGCAGGACAGAGCCGTGCCTCAGATCCTCCCAAGCTCACCTGCCCCTGCGCGCTCAGTTCTAGCCCCACTGGTCACCCTCATCACAGAAGGTCCCAGAACCATGGAGCAGGCTTCCAGCTTCCTCGGAGGTCTGGACCTGAGAGATCAAGCCTCCTGCCACCACCACCCCCCAGTGTCCAGGAAGAAGGCACTGCACACCAGTAGCATGCAGGCCTGAAGAAGAGCTGAGGCTCCCAGGAGCCTCACAGCCTGCCGTGGGACTCCCTGTCACTCACCTCTGTGGCTGTGGTCACACCCATGCAGGCCACAGGGAAGGCATGACCCAGTGGGACTGAGGGAGTCCTGCTTCCACTGAGGCCCAGTCTCCTCATCAGTAACGAGGGGGGGTAGGGAGGGCCCCTCGATGGAGTGCCAAGTCCCAGGTGTGGCCAGGCGGTGGACACCAACATGCCCAGTTCTCCCAGCGCAGTGGTCCGCAGACAGAGGAGGCCTGTTCTCAGTCTGTGTCCCTAAGAATCCCTGGGGGCCGGGCCTTGGGTCCCCACCTTGCTGTGCCCACTCATGGCCTTCCCAGCACAGCACAGCAGAGGGCACCTGGCGGGCTCAGAAGATGGCAGGGAGGCCAGCAGGATTCAGCCCCCACCTGACCCCGAGGGTGGAGCCACAGGGCAGGGCGGACAGGGTGTGGGGAGGGGCTAGTGGACTTCAACTCTGGCCCAGGAGTCCACACCTGGGTGTGACCAGTGTGGGGACAAAGATGGGATGCGAACAGGTGAGAAGAACGTGGGGTTTCCTCAGTGGACTGCAGGAAAGGCCATGGAGAGAGGCTTCAGGGCTACCGGAGGGAGGACCCACCTCACAGGTGAGGGTTAGAGGCCAAGCCCCAGGCCCAGGTGGGCCACAGCACCCGGGACAGGATACCCACACTCTCCTGCTGTGGCTCCCCTCCCCACTTCAGCCGGACAGCTGGCCCCAGCCTCCTGGGTTCCCTGCTCCAGAGCTCCTCCTGCCCACTTCTGCCTCCCAATGACAGGTGAGGGACAGGTCACTGCTGCCACCAAGAACAGGACCTGGCCATCCTATGTCGGCGTCTGCCACCCAGCCAGGCACAGCACAGCCCACACCACGCACCCCACCCTCACCCACCCACACCACGGGCCACACCCGCAGAAGGCTGCAGCACAGGTGTGTCCAGCCGGGATGGGCCCAGGTCCGGCTTCTCCCGCAGTCTCCTCTGCCCACTGCCTGGGCTGCAGCTCAGTGGGAGGGCCAGGCAGCTGTTGAGTCTGGGTTTATTTTCCTGGGAGTATGGAGAGGGTTTGAGGGAAAGGCCTTGGAGAAGGTGCATGAGGAGGAGGCAGGGCTGGGCTCAGACCTGGGCCACAGCGTGACCCTCTCCAGGCTGTGCTGGCGATGGCTGCTTCTCACCACCCCTGCAGAGGCCTGGAGTCTGTGCAGAGGTGTGGCCCCGGGCCGTGGGCGGGAGGGGGGGGGGACGACACAGGCTGAAGAAGTTGTGTCACCAGATCCTCGGGACTGGGAGCCCTCAGGCAGCAGCAGCAGGAGCCAGGCAGTTGGGGACCCCAGGAAGGGAGTTGGCTCAGTGGCACGTCTGTCCCTGGACTCAGCTTGCTTCACCCGACCTGGTCCGTCTCAGCCCCAGTCCAGCCTACGGGGCACAGCTGGTTCAGGGTGGTACAGCCAGGCGTGGAGGGCAGGTGAGTAGGCTGGGACCTGGGGGCCCCCAGGACTCAGGGTGGGGTCCGCATGGCTCTCCAAGCCTAGAAGGTTCCCTGGCACCTGACAGGAGTGAAGCCGGTCCTTCCACCCCCCTGAGGGGGCTGCTGGCCTCACTGTCAGGAAACTCTCCCCAGGTTTCAAGATCCTTTCTGGAGACGCAGTCAGAGCCTGGCTCCCACCATCTGCAGGTGACACTGGCTCAGGGACGGTCCACACACACTGCTTCCAGGAAAGGCAGGGCCACCCTCCAGGCTGCCCCCACCCCCGGGCTCAGCCCCTGAGGCTCCTCAGAGCACCTTCAGGACCTGACAGGACCTGGGGCTGTGACCTGGAAAGGGAGGGCAGGGCTGGTGGACTGTGGTGGCAGTGCTGGGAAGCTGCCCCTTCACCAGGATGGCTCTTCCTCTTCAAATAGAGGGAAGGCTGGGCTGGGGTTTAGCTTGGGGCCACTGTGTGGGAACTGACCACTGGAGCCGGGCCTGGAGTGGGTGCTCCCAACACCACCCAGAGCTGGGCAGCAGACCTCTCCATTCTCCCGGGTGGCTCCAGCCACACCCACCGGATGTGCCCGTGGCTCTAGGCCCTGGGATGGGAACTGAGGCCTCTAATGAACACAGGGAAGGCAGGGGAGGGCTTGACCTCTCCCCTGGGTCCCTGATCCTAGACCCCAGGTGCCCTCCGGGGCTGTGTGTCAGGTGCAGCCTGGCCATCCAAGACCCAAGTCCAGGTACAGGCCTAGAGGCCTTACCAGGTGCTGGGCACCCAGTGGGGCCTTTCTGAAGTCTGAGCATTTAAAAGGCACTGCATACTGATAGGCAGTTAGTGAGGTTCTAAACAACTTGGTGAGATTCTGTCTCAAAATAGAAAATACAAAGAACCGTGGATGTAGCTTAGTGGTAAGTGCCCAGCAACAAAAAAGTAAAAGAAAAAAAGAGCAATAGACCTTACTGTGCTGGACATCTCAAGATGTTAGGGCACCAGACAGTGGGCTCTGAGGCCAAGGCCAATGCCATGCTGCCCCCCCCCTCCTTTACTGGGCCAAGAGCTCTCTGGAAGAGGGTCCACCACCCACTCTCTCCCGGACCCCCATCCTGGTGTTGGGATCTTTCTGCTAAAGTCAAGTCACCCACCTCAGGCTCCTTAGCCCCAGAAGACCTGGAGTGCTCCCATGGTCCCCAAGGATGGCAGAGGACAAATGGTGTTCCAGGCCCAGGCTGAGAAAGGCCAGTTCCCTGGCACCTCCTCAAACCCTAGCACCGCTGGGCTACTTTCATGGTGCCAATAAGAAAACTGGGCCTAGACACACCCACGGAGGACAAATGTGGACTCCCTCAAGCTGGAAAGAGCCCCTTGGCCTTCCAATCCTACTCCTTCCGGGGCGGGGGCTGGGGGCAGACGCAGCTCCGTGGTTCTGGGCAGGGAGACAGGGGCGGCGGGTCAGGGCTGGGTTTGGGACTTTATCTGGTGTCGCAGAGGGCAGAGCTACTGAGGAAAGGGAAGTTGAGAGGGGCTGAAGGCCTTGCCCAAGATTGCCCAAGCTGTAACCGCCTGCACCAGCACCGGCACGGCCCGGCCCGGCACCGGGAGCAGGCGGCGGTTCGGACCAGGCGGGAATTCGGATGCGGCCTCAGCGAGCCGGGCGTGGGGCGGAGGGCTGGACCAGGCGGTGGGACGGTGGGACCGGGCGGGGTCCGCCGAGCCCTGCTGCGCGCGGTGGTGGGTGTGCGCTCCTGTCTGCTAGAGGGCGCGCCCCGGGAGTGCAGGACGAGAGGTCCCAGTCCTGGAGGTCGCAGGGACGCGGCCAGGCTCCTGTCAGAGTTGGAACAGAAGGAAACCGTGGTCTTGGGAGAGGAAATGAAGTGGCCGCGTCGCAGCCGGCGGGAACTCCTGGCCCAGCGCCAGAGGGAGGCTGCCGGGCGGCCCGGGTCGGGGCGCAGAGGACGCGGACCGGCCGGCCAGAAGCGCGTCCGGGCCGGGGTCCGCTCGGGGAGCACGGACAGGGCGGGCCGCGGCCGGGTGTCCGTGGGCCCGGCGGGGCTGGCAGGCCTCGGGCCGCGCCGTCGGGGAGCAGCGGCAGGGCCGCCCCCTCCGGCGGCGGCGCGCGGGGTCCGGGCGGGGCGGCAGGGGCGGCGCCAGGCAGCGGTGACGTGCGCAGGGGACGTGCCGCGCGAGCGACGAGAGCACTTAAAGTCGCCCCCGGCGCGGCGCCTGGCAGCCGAGTCGGGCAGCGGCGGGCGCGGCGGCCGAGCGGCGGCAGGTAGGCGCGGCCGGGATGCTGGGCGCGCGGGCGGAGGCCGGACTCTCCGAGTCGCTGGTGGGCTGAGCTGGCGCCGCGCGTCGTCCTCCTCGGGGCCGCAGCTTCCCGCCCCCTCGCCCCTTCCCCTCGCGGTCTACCGGGCTCTGGGGGCGTCTCGGCTTAGACGAGCCTTCCCGCCCCTTTTGCCCCCCGCCCCCCCAGGGCTCCAGGCAGCCAGCTGTGTGCCTTCCAACCCCAGGCGCCCAGCTTTGCCTCCCAGCCCGCCTGGGCACCCATCCGTCGGGCGGCCCTCGGGGACTGGGCTCTGGCCAGGAGGAGATAGCGCCTGGCAGCAGAGCTGGTCCCGAGTATAAATAGCTCGGTGTGCGGGCCACCCGGGGCCAGGGCCGCGGGCTATATTTGGTGGGGCCACCTCCCTGAACGGTGCACGTGCGCGCCAGGCCTGGACCCTGGGGAGGGAAGCCCTCGGATCTTCCTTTCCCGCCCCTTCTTGCCTCTTACTATGTCCCTAAATTCACCATTACACACCCACGCTCCCTCCGTGGCCAAAAGCCAGCAGGCTGGATACTGGTGGGACAAGAAGTGGACTAGCCTCCCAGCCTCACCCTCCCAGCTCCCCAGCCTGAGGAAAAACTAGGAGGAGTTTTAGTTTTCTTATCTGAAAAGTGGGTTGATGACTAGATGGATGCTGGGCCCATCGAGAGCAGGCACCTAGTGGAAGGAAAGCCCTGAGCTCTGGGCTGAGTGTGTGGGTCTGGGTTTGTGTACTGGTGTGTGGGTGGCACCTGGAGTCTGGGTTAGTGACAAAGGGGCAGCTGGGGGCCATATCCCAGAGGCACCGGGCTGCCTGTCTAGGCCACCCAAACTGACAGAATCACTCTGATGACCAGAGTCAGGACCACTTGGTAGGCTGAGGGGACTTGTCCAAAGCTTACAGCAGGCGTGGGTGCTGGTGGGGATGAGGGGGGTGGGAGGAGCTGGGGGGTGTCCAGAGGTCCTCAGCTTCCTTTTACAGGCCCAAGAGCTGGCTGGTGTCTGGTGGATGGGGAGAGGGATGGGGACAATCCCACAAGTGCCTGGGCTCTCGGGTGGGCAGGTGTGTGTGTCTTAAGTCGGTGATGGGGGCAGGTTTGCTCCCAACAGAACACTAGAGGCACTGCACTTTCCTGCCCAGGGCTCTGGTGTGGTCAGAGCCTCCTGTGGCCATGGGGAGGCCTCGTCCCAAGACAGACTCCCTGGGTGACCTTGGGTAGTGCCTGCTACCCAGAAGGCATCTGGCCCTCAATGCCCACAGCATGGATACCTATTTTGGAGGGACAGGAGAGGGCTCTGTTGACCCCAAGCAGCCCTCTAAGAGTGTGTATGGAGGGGGCCTGTGGGTGGGACCCCACAGCATGCCGTGTGCCGGGCTTGTGGGCTCCTGGGTTGTCCTGCGGTGACCTGACAGTGTGGGAAGGGAGGGGCCGCTGAGGAGCCCAGTGCCAGCTGCACCTAAGGCCCGGGGCGGGGCCTTCTGCATGGTGGTGCTGAGCAATTGGAGGCACCTCTGGATCAGGCCGTGGGCCACCAGGCACTGGGCCCTGGCACAGGGGCGGGGCCTGCGGTCCCAGCCTCAGTCTCCATCTGTGGGAAGGGTCCCACGCTGCAGTCCTACGCACCCAGGTTGCGCGCCCCTGGCCAGAGTTCGAGTCTTGGCCAGGAGGCGAAACTCTGGAGTTTAGGAATCAGCGGCCCCCAGCCGGGCGCACCCGTCCCGCCTCTGCGGAGCACAGAAGACGCCGCCCCAGCCCTAGGGGGCGCACCGCAGGGGGACGCGCGGCCCCTGCGGTGTGCGGGGCGGGGCGGTGGACGCTCAGCGCTGTACTGCTGCTGGGCAGACCCCAGTGGCACCCGCGCTGGCTAGTACGGTAGCGGAGGAAGGGCGCCTACTCCAGGCAATACGGCGGCGGCTCCTCCCTTGGCGCGGTCACGTCCCCCACGTCCCGCGGCCGGCCGCACGGGCGGAGCATCCTCCCCTTCCCCCTCCCGGTCCAGCTCCGGTGGGACACGCCCAGAGTGGCCGACCCCCACCCGCCAGCCGGGCGGCAGGAGCCAGCAGGCCCGTCCATCGGAGGAGGGGCCTCGGCTTCCCGCGCCCAGCCCTAGTGCCCTCGCCTCATCTCACCTCTTCCCACCTGTCTCCCTCCACGCCTGATCCTGGGTGGGCGGGCACCTCCGGAGCCCTGGCCTTCAGGCGGAAGGCTGCAGGGGAGTGGAGGAATGGGTCCAGATGGCCAGGCGGAGGGGCAGCCCATGCAGGGTCCCACAGGCTTTGGTGTTGGGGGAGGGCAGCTCTGCGCTCACCCCAACCTCCACAGCAGCCTCAGCCACTGACCGCAGCCTTGCTGAGAAGCTAGACCAGATCACCAGGGCTGTCCACTGTGTGGCAGCCAAGGGTAGACGCCTCCTTGTAGGAGGTGGGACTTGAGGGCGCCATCCCCGGGGCCACACTTCTGGGGGTCCTAGCCGAGATCTGTACTCAGCCAGTTGCTAGCCTTGGGTGGCAGTATCCAGCCTGGCAAATGAGGCCAGTGTTTCCACCCCACTGGCCCCGCGAAGAGGATGTGAGCGGACAAGTGGGAGCCTGCAGGGGTAGGAGGCAGGCAGCAGAACCAGGGTGGAGGGCCCAGGCCAGCGCCCCCCCCCCCCAGCCTTCTGACCTCTCCCTGGAAGCAGCCCCTGCCCCTGTGTATCTCTGCACTGGTGGGGACAGGGCTGAGGGTGCTGGCTTCCTCCCGCAGGGAGGGGCACACTGCTGGTTACCTGATTATTTATTTATTTTTAGTTTTTGGTGGACACAACATCTTTATTTAATTTTTATGTGGTGCTGAGGATCGACCCCAGCGCCCCGCGCATGCCAGGCGAGTGCTACCGCTTGAGCCACATCCCCAGCCCTGGTTACCTGTTTTCACAACAGTGTCAATGAGGGAAGGAAGAATGGGAACCCGGAAGCAGGCCCTCCCTCTCCCTGATTCAGCACCTCCAACCCTCAAAGGCCAGGTCCTAGCACAAAGGGACTGCTTCCTTGGTTCTCAGGGGTCTGGAATTTGATTGAAGGAATATAATTGTCCCTGTGCCTGCCACCTGCCTGGACCACAAAGGCAGGGTCGTTGCAGGGACCTGGCCTGCACTCCTGGGGCTGACAGTCCAGCCGAAGGATTCAGGCTGCTGAAGGGTGAGGTTTCTGGGGAGGCCAAGAAAGAGCAGGCTGGGGCACAGGGTTGTATGGGAGGTGTGCAGTACAGGCAGAGGGGAGAGTACAGGGGCCCCACAGCCCTGACTTGGGAGGGTACCGTGGAGTCTCCCCGAGGGCCAAGGTTCTCCATGTACCCCTCCCGTGAACTGTCCCCCGTCAGCTCCTGGCGGTCTGGGGTATGGGGCCTTGGAAGGACCTCCAGGGATCAGCCCTGGGGAGTACCTGGAGCTCCTGCTAACTCAGATGCACCCAGGGAGATCAGCTTTCTGTAACCCAGAGGCCAGTTTATTTCTGGGCTGGTTCACATGCTTCCCTGGGAGGGTAAATGTCACCAAAAGGCCAGGCTGCTGGGCGTGCCCATGGATATGCTGTGGGAGAGGGACCATGGTGGGTGCTGCTTCCTCCTCTGGGTGGAGACAGATGGATAATTAGCCTGCACACACCTCAGCCTACCTATGCTCAGGGTCCCTGGGAGGTGGAGCCACAGACTTGCTCTTCCTGAGTAGCCAGGTGTAAGAGGTCCTAGACCCTCACTCCACCTACCCTGCCCCAAGCCTGGCTGGCAGACAGCCAGCTTAAAGTCAACCTCTGGTCTGAAAAACCACAACCTTGCTGAAGCCTCACTCTGCAGCGTCTCTGGGTGACAGGCTGGAGTAGGCACTGGAGAGCCACTTCAGGGTGCCTGAGCTGGGTGGCAATGGACCACAGTGCTGGGCCTTGGTTGGGAGCTTCTGCCCCAGGCGCCACAATCTCCGTGGCACAGAGGATCTTCCACGTGTGACCAACTTTGAAGGGCCTAGTACAGGCTGTGCTCTCCTGGCCTGAGTCCTGGCACCAGCCCCCCTCTGCCTGCCTTCCCAAGCCACAACCCAGGGGTGCTCTTCTCCAGCAGGTGGCAGATGTCTCTGCTTCCCAGCAGTCCCTACTGCCTCCTGAGGACCCTGGATGCCTCCAAGAGGGCCCAGCCCCGGTGGGCAGTGGACAAGCAAGGGGGACTTCAAAAGGCCGGGGTGCCTGTGATTCCCCTAGCAGGACTGGGCAGGGCTGGTACAGCCCCAGCTGCCTCACTCTGTTTCTGGGGAGGGCCCTGGGCATGTGGGGTCAGGCTGCTGCTGTGGCCGTTACTGAGCACTCCCCTCCTGGACTTTGCAAGGCCCTCGATTCATTCATTTAATTTTTGCAGTACTCATGTGTGCTAGGCCAGGACTCTGCACTACGTCCCAGCCTGCCTGACTCATTTCAGAAAGTGCTATAAGCATCCAAGGCCACAATCCAAGCAAGTGGGGGCTGGCAGGGACAATCGCCCCTCCCACATTGGCTCCTTCGCAGTGAGTGGTCTCTAGGGTGACTGGTCCGCTCCCTGCTGTGTGGGCTCTTAGGTCTTTTATCTAGGCACTAAGATGATGCAGTGATCCTGCCCTCAGTGCCCCTTGCAGTGTGTCCTCACTGTGCATGATGTTCCTCCTTTGGCCCCACTCCCGGCTGGGGGTCTCAGCTGGGCACAGCATCACAGAACTGGTGTGGCCCCTGCAGGGGGGATGGGGGGACGGGCCACCCAGCTGAGTGCAGTCTCTAGCATGCCTGAAGGTATCCCCTGGGGCCCGATTTTCAGGAAGACGTGGGGAAGGGGGTGGGATGCGGCCCAAGCCTATCCCCCCCCCCAGGTACCTGCCGCAGGGGCGGTCACACCATGGACAATGGCTAACCTGACACGCCAGGGCTGCATTTTCTTCCCCAGAGAGCTGGCTGGCTGCACACCACTGGTGGGAGACACTGCGCAAGCTACACTGAAGGCCTCGGGTTCCAGACACCCAGGGACACAGACCCTGTCACAGCTCTCTCCCTGGTGAGGTGGGGATGTGGGATTGGCAACTTCCAATGGGATGGGATGGGAAGGTGGAAATCTGGTCCCAACATTCCGACTTACTCTGTCTTAGAGGAGCTAAGCTCCTGGAATTTACAAGGGAAGTCAGCCCTGGGCCTGTGTGGGGCTTAGGACAATCCGCTCCTTCCTTGGCAGCCTTGGGGGGGGGGGCAATGGAAGCCTCCTCCTGACCTTCCTGGGTATACCGTCAGGTGCCCTCATCTGACCTATCAGGTCGGGACCCTTGGCCTCTCCCCAACCCCAATCTGGCTTGTTCCCATACGAAGGCCTCTGCCCTGTACAGCCAGGAAGCTGAATAGGGGTGGGGAGAACAGGGGCAGGGAGCCTGACCCTTCTGGGGGCAGGAGAGCAAGGGTAAGCCTGGCCATCTTATCTAGACAGCGGGGCAGAGGTTGGCAGCACCCTCGCACGCCCTCCAGGGGAGGGCTTGACATGGCCCGAGGAGGGGGAGGGATGTTACATGCCAGCTCCTGCAGGCTGAATGCAGCGGGCCACAGGGGTAGGACACACACCAGCCAGGCTGTCCACCCAGCGGGGTCTGCACTTTCCAGGAGGCAAAAGTCCTGGCTGAGCCCAAATCAGCCCTTGCCCTTCAGAAAGCCAGCCGCAGGAGCAGGAGGCTGGGGAGGGGTGGGTGCAGCAGGGCAGGCTGCTCGCGGAGCCCCTGCAGCCGTGAGTGCAGTGCTAGCCCTTGCCTGCCTCTGAGACTCTGGGCCCATTCACCCAACTCAGCCCTGCTTCCTCTCTCCCCAGGTGCGACAGAACCAGCCCTCCTGGCCATGGGAGGAGCTGTGGTGGACGAGGGTCCCACGGGCGTCAAGGCCCCTGATGGGGGCTGGGGCTGGGCCGTGCTCTTCGGCTGCTTTGTCATCACGGGTTTCTCCTACGCCTTCCCCAAGGCGGTGAGCGTCTTCTTCAAGGAGCTCATGCGGGAGTTCGGGATTGGTTACAGCGACACAGCCTGGATCTCCTCCATCCTGCTGGCCATGCTCTACGGCACAGGTGAGGCCGTCGGCTCTGGGACAGGCTGGCCAAGTCCTGGTGGCCACAGGAGCCCAATGGGTGGGGCTTGTCCCAGGGTTGAGCCCAAACCATTGTAGATCCACAGTGGCCTAAAGGGAGCCCTGGAGACGGGGACCTGCTAGAAAGCAGTCTGTCTCCACCCCTGTCCCAACATGTGGGTTGTTCAGACAGTCCCAGAGGGCGAGGTCGCGGGGAGCCCTCCTCTGCACCATGGCTAGTCCTTGATGACCTGCCCAGGCCCACCAGAGCATCATGGGAATACGCCCCATGGGTGGCTGGGCTCTGCCCTTGGGGAACCAGGTCTGCAGGGCTCCTGGCATCCCTGCTGAGTTGAGGGTGGCATTGGGAGGAGAGGCCCTGGGCACTGGACAGGCACAGCCTAGCTGGAGGCCGGGGCAGCCCCTCCTCAGCAGCCGCCTCCCCGCAGGTCCCCTCTGCAGCGTGTGTGTGAACCGCTTTGGCTGCAGGCCTGTCATGCTCGTGGGTGGCCTCTTCGCGTCCCTGGGCATGGTGGCTGCCTCCTTCTGTAGGAGCATCATCCAGGTCTACCTCACCACAGGGGTCATAACTGGTGAGCAGGGCCTGGCCGGGAGCTTCTGGGGGTGGGATCTGGGGGAGCAGGGAGCACAGCCCCCCCCCCAGGCAAGCAGCAGGGGTTCCTATCAGACCACACAGCACAGGGCCAGCGTGGAGGGCGGGGGCAGGGACACAGGTCTGGGGCCCGGGAGGGTCTCACCCTGTGCCTGCGCCTGCCCCTGCAGGCTTGGGCCTGGCTCTCAACTTCCAACCCTCCCTCATCATGCTCAACCGCTACTTCAACAAGCGGCGCCCCATGGCCAATGGGCTGGCGGCCGCGGGCAGCCCCGTGTTCCTGTGTGCGCTGTCGCCGCTGGGGCAGCTGCTGCAGGACCGGTACGGCTGGCGGGGTGGCTTCCTCATCCTGGGCGGCCTGCTGCTCAACTGCTGCGTGTGCGCTGCGCTCATGAGGCCCCTGGTGGCACCCCAGCCGGCCGGGGCACCAGGCCCCCAGCGGCCTGCCCGGCGCCTGCTGGACCTGAGCGTCTTCCGGGACCGGGGCTTCGTCATCTACGCCGCCGCCGCCTCCATCATGGTGCTGGGGCTCTTCGTACCACCCGTGTTTGTGGTGAGCTACGCCAAGGACCTGGGTGTGCCCGACACGCAGGCTGCCTTCCTGCTTACCATCCTGGGCTTCATCGACATCTTCGCCAGGCCCACAGCTGGATTCATCACCGGGCTCAAGAAGGTGCGGCCCTACTCGGTCTACCTCTTCAGCTTCGCCATGTTCTTCAACGGCTTCACCGACCTGACGGGCTCCACCGCCAGCGACTACGGCGGCCTGGTGGTCTTCTGCATATTCTTTGGCATCTCCTACGGCATGGTGGGGGCCCTGCAGTTTGAGGTGCTCATGGCCATTGTGGGCACCCACAAGTTCTCCAGTGCCATTGGCCTTGTGCTGCTGCTGGAGGCTGTGGCTGTTCTCGTCGGACCCCCGTCGGGCGGTGAGTACTGCTGGGGGCAAAGGCGGGCAGGCCCTGGGCTTCCTAGGGGCTCACTGAGGGCCCTGGTCAGGAGTGAGCAGCGGGCCCCCAGCCGGGCAGGAACACCCACAGGCCTGGCAGCTGCTTTCAGGCCGTCTGCACACAGAGGGACGGCTTGCGGGGGGCCACTCCCGTGCTTGAAACTCTGGGCCTCTGCTGAGGAAACTCCCAGTGGGATCTGGAAAGTCCAACTGGAGGGCAGCATGGCCAGGTCCTGGCTCAAGGAGAGGTCACTTAGCAGGCCCTAGCCCCTTTAGCCCCTGGCTGTTCCTTTTCCTCAGAAGGATCCTGGGGTGGGGTGGGGTGGGGTCAGAGGTCACACAAGTGGCCCTCCCTGTCTTGGGGTTGCTTGGTCACAGGGCACAGGGCCAGGCTGAGTCCAGCAGTGCCCCTCCTGAGTGGGCAGCAGGGCCACACCTGGGTACTCTGCAGTGCCACCTCTGCTTTTAGGGCCTGTCTCTACTTTCTTGAGAGGAGGCAGGAGGGGACGTGGGGACGGCAGGAAGACCTCAGAGGGCCTCGGGGGAGGGAGAGGGGGCACTTCTGCAAGTCAGACACCACAGGGGCTTCTGTAGGAGCCTGGCCCTGGGGTGTGGCCGTGCCCTTGGAGCAGCTGGTGACCCAAGTCCCCCTACAGGCAAGCTGCTGGATGCGACCCACGTCTACCAGTACGTGTTCATCCTGGCGGGGATTGAGGTGCTCACCTCCTCCCTCGTGCTGCTGCTGGGCAACTTCTTCTGCATCAGGAAGAGGCCCGAGGCGTCACAGCCTGAGGAGGCTACCTCAGAGGCAGAGAGGCTCCACAAGCCCCCCACGGATGTGAGGGTGGACTCCCGGGAGGTGGAACACTTCCTGAAGGCAGAGCCTGAGAAAAACGGGGAGGTGGTCCACACCCCGGAGACCAGTGTGTGAGTGGCCTGGCGGGGCTGGCAGGGTGCAGGGAAGAGCTACAGAGACTGGCAACGCTTGTATTTATTTCACAAACAGGACCAGCTTAGGCAGGGCCACTGGCTCAGCGCTGGATGCTGGTCATCGGGTCATCACCTGACCTGTGTTTTGCGGGGAAGGTGGCGGGGTGGGAACGTGTCATTCCACAGCGGATCTGCGGTGAAGCCAAGCCCATGGTTACAAGCCGCCTGCTCACCCCAAGCAGCCCATGCCCCCCACGTGGTCAAGGACCTAGAAGCCCAGGCTTTGAGACAACATGACTTTAATAGGAGGGCGGGCTGGGGCAGGCTGGCGAGCGGACACCTCCCCGAGGCCTTCCCTGGTGCCTGTCTGACCCCCCGCCCTGCCCTCACCTCCTACGGTGCCCACCCCTCTCTGTCTAGGGTACAAAGAGCTCATTCCACCTGTGAAGGTGCGAAATAAACCTGCGTGTGGCAGGAGTCTGGGGGGCCTGGTCCTCGGAACTACGTGTGGTGTGTGCTGGTGTACCCTCAGCTCGCTTGGGTTTGGAAATGACCTGGTTGTTCTTACAAACTGCTCTGGTCCTCGTCAGTTTTCCTACTGCTGTCTGCTCTGGAACATTCCCTGAGCAGCGACTGTGTTCACAGGGCACAGAGGGTGGAGAGAAGGGGGCAGGCAGGGAGGGGGCTGCAAGCTAGAGGGGTCCCCAGCTGGGTGCCTGGACCCGCAGGACCCAGTGTGGTGCGAGGGCTGAGTGGAGGTGCAGTGGGAGCTCCGTTTCCTGCGTGTGGCCTCAAAACACACTTTCCTGCCTTCCATTTATTTGTCCCCTGGTTGGCTGGTAGATTTGCTCTGTGTGGCCAGCACCTGTTGATCTCTGCTCCCCGTCCTCCTCCATCCAGCCCGTGCTCAGCGCTCGGGCTTGCCCTGGGCACCTCACACCCACCTGCCCTTGTGGCCAGCGGCGGCCTGCGTGGCTGGGAGCCCGGTCAGAGGCAGCTGAAGCCCCTCAGTAGGTGGTGCGTCGTGGGCGCTGGGGACGGCAGCGGGCACCCTGACGGGCCGCGTGCAGCCGAAGAGACGCCATGTCCCTGCTCCTCTGCAACGAAAAGGAGGCGAGAGCTCACGTCTCGGGCCCAGTCTCTCCTCTGTCCCGACCTCGCTTCGTTGGGCCCGGGCCCTGGCCCTGGCCGCTTCTGTGAGGAAGCCAGGGGCAGTTTCATCTGCTGGCAGCCCTGATACAGTCCCATGGCTCTGGGGTGCCCTTGCCTTCTCTGGTCTTCCTGTACCCTAAATCAGGGGTTGGCTGGTGGGCAGTGCTAGCAGCTGCAGAGGTGATGGGCTAGCCCAGATGGCCCAGGGCCATCCATGTCCTCAGGTTATCAACCTTGCCACATGCAGTGGGAACCCCAGGCCTCAGGACAGGATGAGTCCAGGTCATGGCCACAGGCCATCTCCAGGAACCAGAGGGCGGCACAAAACATGGGGTTTCTTCCCTCCTGGACCTGGCTGCCCCTGAAACTATGGCAAGAGCTGATCCACCACCAACGATTACTCTCTCCTGGTTCCCGAGTCTCCCACCTACAGCGGGCCCTCTTCCCCTGGGTGACTGCTCCAGGGCTGTCAGGCCTTTCCCTCCTGTCCCACACTTACACCCAGAGCACGTGGCCAGGGCATAAGAGAGCCAGGAAATGGTGATTCCTGAAAGTTAGGCTTTGGGGACCCGAGTGATTCTGAGATGGTCAGGATGTTGGGATGCTCCCTGGGAAGACGACTACAGCTCAGCTGGGAAGGACCCACTGCGGGTTTGCCCTTTCCTGGGGGAGGCAGCGTGGCCCTGAAGCCCTCCAGACCTATGAGCCAGTGGTTCTAGATGGTCTCCAAGCACAGGGAAAAGGACACTTCACATCCTTAAGCTGTGGCTGCTAGGCAGGTGATACTGACCAGTGGGCAAGGTATGTGGCAGAGGGCCAAAAGAGTCAAGGAAGGCCCCAAATACCCTGGAGGAAGCTGGGGCACACCAGAACCTGGGCTATGACCAGGGCTGCCCCACAGTGAGGATCTGGGCAGCAAAGGAGCTCACATGCAGCACCCTGTGAAGGCCAACCCTGAGCAGCACATCCATCAGGCCCATGCCAAGTGCGCCCACGCAGGCCTGTAGAGAGCACAGACATCCCCTGGTCCCCACACCAGTACTGGGGTCCAACAACCTGGGCTGCTGCCTGATCACGTGCTGGGGGATGTTGAGAGCCACAGCCAAAGGGGCCCCAGAAAACTTCCAGCTGCCAGCAAACTCCCAGCTGCCGGCTGATGATTGGCTCACAGTGGCCCCAGCAACATCTAGCTGATTGGCTCCTCTGTGGTGATGTTCATTGGGCTGTTTCCCTGCCCTTCAGACTGCCAGCTGATGATTGGCTCACAGCGGCCCCAGCAACATCTAGCTGATTGGCTCCTCTGCGGTCATGTTCATTGGGCTGTTTCCCTGCCCTTCAGACTACGGAACTGCTCATTGGGGGACTTCTTTGGCTCCGCCCACGCGACCTAGCCAATCGGCCTCAAGAGCAGGAGGATTGTGGGAGGTGGTTGTTGGTGTGTGGGAGAGGCTTGTGGAAGCCGGTGGTGGCAGTTGGGCTCTGAGGGTTTTTCCTGAGGAGCTGTTTTGTTTGGCGTTTGTAGTTTTAAAAATAAAGTTTGTTTCTTTTGACAAGTGGCTCCTGAATTGTGCCCAGCCAGACTGCGGCATTGGGTGCAACTCTGATCCCTGCCCTCATGCTCTCCTGGGCCGCCCCCTCCTGGGCCTCTACCAAGAACTCCCAGGTCCAGGCATGCGTGGGACCCAGAGAGGGCCTTGGTGGCTGGGGGACACCATGTCCTGAACCCCTGCGAGGCCCACTGTGGGGCTCAACACTGCAGCCTGGCCTCAGGGATGCAGGATCACAACCAGCTCCTCACCTCCAGCACTGGCACCCTTAAAGGTTCATGGCACCCAAATGTGGATGGCTGCAGAGGCAGTGGGTGAACCACCACCCCATGCCTTCTGGTTCTGCTTGGGGAAGGTGCCAGCCTGGGCAGAGCTGACAAAAGTGTCTTGCCCCACAGCCAGGGAGGGGAGGGACAGGGAGATCCCTGCCAGCACCTCCGGGAACCCGTGTGAGGCAGGATTGACCAACTTGGAGTGTCTGGGGAACAGGCAGGCTGCAGGGGGCTGGGAAAAGGCAATTCAGGCCCAGGGCCAGGTGTCCTGGTTACGGGCGTCTAGCTGGGTGAGATGGCGGGAAGGCACTGCAGGAGTCTGGCAGGACTGCCGAGGGAGCTCCCCTCTGGCACATGCGCACATGCCTGCACAGGGCTTGTCTGTTCCTGGCTCCAGCAACCTCCAAGTGGGTGGACTAGGAAGTCCTGTCCACACCTGACTGCTGCAAATGCACCCTGACCCGGGGGGCCTGGCTGCTGCCTGCAGAAAGGCAGACCAGGAGGTTAGGAGAGGCCTGGGCGCAGCTCCAGCAGCAGCGGCCTGATGCCCACCCTGAGAAGGTATGTTGTGGTGAAGTGTACGCCCTCTCCCTGCACCTATGGGAATTTGAGTAGCAGTCACCATAGGGAAAATGCTGTCCACCGTGGGGTTCACCAGTCATCTTGCTAGCTTGCTCATTGTCTACTTTCCAGAAAGCCTGAGGTGCTGGTGTGCTTCTGGCCAACGTAGCCCCTGGGGCATGGAGGTCAGGGGACTATCTCTGAAAGGGCACTAGGCTGGAGAGGGGCCCTTGGAATCACTGCATGCACCCCCGGCTCCAGCTCACACCCACCACAGTCCACTCTGGGGAGGTGGGAGGTGTCCTTCTGGAGCCTGCTCTAAGCAGGTCCTCAACACCACAGGCTAAGAGGACATGCAGACTGCCACCCTCCCTGTCAGTTTCCCATGGTCAACCTGAACCCTTGGAAAACTCAGCTGATGAAATAAAGACCACTCAAAAGGGGCTGGGAACAAAGGTAGAAGTCATTATGAATTTATTATTTACATAATTGTTAAAGTACACAAATACAGTGGTAGTACAAATGCACAGCTCAGAGACTGGTCACAAGACACAGGATGATACACACTCAACTACGCTGCCTGCCAGTGATGACGGGGTTACATACTGGCCGAGAACTGCAACAGCCACACCCGAGGGATCAGGACGGGTCTGTTCCCAGTGCAAGCCAGCAGTCCCAGGCCAGGCCTGGTGCAGGGTCGGAGGCTGCCTGCCACCAGCCTTCTGGAACCATGTTGGGACCATGGGTATTGACAAAGGGTACTTGCCACACGGGACAGCTGCTGACAGGCCAAGGCCCAACTTTAATGAAGGGGTTCGCCACCACGAAAACCTCACACTCACCATGACCTGTCCCGAACTCCCTCAGCACTCCCAGAAATGCAGCCCACCCGGTCAAGGCCCCACACTCCAAAATTCTAACAGAGTAACCAGTTCAGGATTCAGGAAGCAGCACTCACAGGCTCAGGAAGACGGCCGGCCCACTGGACAGCGCCACTGTGCGTGGGGACACCACGGCACACCAGCAGCCTACTGCGGTGCTATGCCGGGGAGCTCTGGGGAAGGAGGGGCAGCCACAGTGGCACTGTCAGGCCCCACCAAGGGTGCCGGCTACCAGCAGCACTCACTCCACAGGCTGGCAAAAGAAATGGAAACGGACCCATGCACATGTATACTGCACCCCATTTCCCAGATGGGGCCCCCAGAACCACTGCTGTCTCTACCATCTGGTGTATGACAGCACAGAATCTCAGCAGGGAAGAGCATCTTAAATTCTAGCTGCAGCAGCAGAGCAACCAGTGCCCACAGCACAGGACAGGACAGGACAGGAAGAGACTGGACTGGCTCACAGGGGCTGCCTCCTCACAGACGTCCAGCTCAAGGTCATGAAGTAGGTGGTGCCACCTTTCTGGAGGCGAAGATTCTTGGTGCAGCTGGACAAGCACCCAACTTGGCGCTTTAGGGCGGGTTCCCTTCAGCACACCCCGAGTCTGTGAGGACAGCCTGCTCCCTAGCTTCCAGCAGAGGCGATGGCGGTGACCATGTGCGCAGCAGTGTGTAAGCTGTTCAGAAACTTCGCAAAGTCAAAGGTAGAGAGGAACCACCACCACCAAAGTGACCACACGGGACACCCAACAGGAACTCGGGGTGGCCGACTCACAGTCCTCTCCCCCCAGAAAACCAGGAACGCACACCCAGCTTTGAGTCTCGGAACTCCCCAGGCCTCTGCCTGGGCACCGCAGAGCTCTGACCCCCAAGGCCTCACTCCCTTCTCCGCGGCAGCCTGAGCCTAACCTGCATTCGACCAGGCACCTCAGCCTGCAGTGGGGGGTGGCTGGTGGGTCCGAGGCACACAGGCGCATATAACCACAACTTCTGACGAGATTTTCTCTCAACGGACAACACAACACGAGAAAACAAACAGAACACACATCCTTGTCCTTCACGTGCACCCCTCTTCTGCCTCCATTTCACACAGACGCTCCAGCCAGGGTCTGTCTCAGGAGTCTTTGAAATCAACATCTTTTTTAAGACCGCAAAACAGACAAGAAAGAAACAATAAAAAGACGGATTTCTTTACACAGATTTAAGCCAGTAATTTTTAGCAAAATGATACAAAACTGTCTTAACCAAGTAGAAGACTGGTAGTTGCAGTGGGATCGCCAGGGAGCACAGGTTCGCCACCACTGGAAGGAGCTGCGGCTCTTGACAGGGAGTTGGGTTCTCTATGCAAGTCTCCCACACTCTGCTCTTCTGCCCAGCCCTGTGGAAACCGGGCTCACGTGGGGGCCACGCCGGCAGCCCCTGGCGATGGCGGCTCTCAGAGCCTGTCTGTTTAGTTTGTTTTGATTCCCCATGAGCATCGCTGGGTGAGTGGCCTGGAGGGCTCCCGGCGTTAACATTTCGGGTCTAGACCGGGGGGCGTGTCACTAGTAAAGCCATTGGTAACAGAGTAGATCAGCCATGCATTGTCTGCCCTTCACAGCAAAAGGAGAGTCTCATCGGTGCACGACAGACTGAAGACCGCTGGAAGCCACCCGACCAGGAATCTGTCGGAGCCAAAGCACAGGACAAGGTCAGCATGAGGCCAGAGGGGCTGGCCAGCAAGGTGACAGGCACAAGTACCACACGATGCATCCTGGGGAGGGGACACACTGCTGCCTGGCCCCAGCTGCACAGAGGGGACTCTGCGGCCAGAACACGTGCTGAGCAGAACAAGTGGCAGGAAGAGGGAAAGGAAGAAGAGGCGTGCAAGCCAGGAGACCGCGGGGCTGCGCTCTGCAGCGATGGCAAGGGTCCAAGTTGGGCAGAGATGCCCACTCCCAGGGTCCCCTCCTGAGAAGCAAACGGTTGCTCTAAAAACAGGCACCCCACTTGGGGGAAGACAGGAAAAGCAGTCTTGTCGACGCATCTCCGAGAGTGTGCATGGTGTTAACACTGCACGGGTCCCCAGCACTCCAAGCCCTGGGAAAACCAAGCCCCTGCGGGAAGGAGCCACAAGTGCCACGTGGCCGACAAGAAGGCAGCGCAGCGTAGACACCCGGCCATGCACCGACGGTAGGGAGCAGGTGGCTGTGGCTGGGTGGGTTAACACAGACGACAGCTGCGTGGACAGGATGGGTGGGCAGGGACCAAGTTTGGAAAGAACACAAAATGAGGACAGAGATAAATGAGAGAGGAAGTGGGACGACTGAAAAAGCCGGGATAGGTAGAGACCACCAGGAGCCTGAAGGCAGCAAGAGCTCAAGAGCCCGACACCAAGCGTGGCGCCACTCAGCTGAGCACGACAGACATGCCCAACTGCAGCACAGGGAGGCCAAAGGCGAGGCCACAGCGGATGGTCCCCTGGGGTTGTTCCGTCCGAGACCAAGGATGGATCTTCCCCCAGACTGGGCAGCTGACCACGGCTGCTCTAGGACCCACGCAGGGAGAACAAAGCAGAAGAAGCCTCACTCTACTGCCAGCACCTGGCATGCAAGCCCAGCCCACTGAGTCCCCAAGGCGGTGGGGAGTGGTGGCTCCCTCCCCGCCTGGCGCTGGCCATCTGCTGAGCCCCACCATGAGCACACTCACCCAGTGCTGCCTTCTGCGGAGACGAGCAGCTACTTGCCGTGGTGTTCGAAAGGAATGCTATTCTGAGGTGGGGAAAAGACAGCTGTTGGTAAGCATCCCTCTGGCTGGACCAGCACGCGAGGCCCCGACCCGACTGCCCACGTGGGGCCTGTGTGCGGACGTGCCTCCTTGCCTTGGCCAGGTCCACAGATGCTGACAGTGCCACCTCAGGAACCAGGGAAAGTCAATCTCTCCACGCGGCTCAGGGCTCACTGCCCTCTCATTGCTGGCCCTCCGATGAGAGTGGCCACTCTTTCTCCAGAAATGAGGACACGCGACAGACCCTCCTGACTGCAAATGCACTGAGAGGCCAGCATCCAGGGGAATGGCAGGGCTGGGCAGGCCCTACAGGGTTTCTCAGCATCTCCCAGGAGACACTACCTCATTAATGGAGGCGCTGGGCTGCAAACCTTATTTGGGAGCAGGGTGTGGATTCAATGAGCCATCAAAAGGAGTAACTGGCACCTTTATGGACAGTACTGAACAAGGAAGGCCCCTCTTAGGGGTCACTGGCCAGACACTCTGCAGGTCTGTGTTCTTGTGGTTGATAAGAACACCTTACACCTGCAGACCAGGCCAGGTGGGATTCTTGGGCTCCCCAGAGGCTAGCTAACACAGTGGCCCTTCAGAAGACAAAGGGCCCAAGAGGAAGCAGTCACCTTCAAGCCAAGCCAAGGCAGCGACAAGGATCTATGACAGTGAGGCTGTCTTCAACCTGCACATAGTACTGTGGAGTCGCCACACCTCAGCAAGGGTGACTTCTGTAGCATTGTCCAGACATACCCAAGGGTGCCACAGAACCTTTCCAATACCTCGCTGCACTCCCAGGAGGGCCTGCTTCTCACACTTGGTCCTCCTACCTTATCCCTACTCTTGAGAGGGCTCCAAGGGGTGACTATAGAACTGTGGAAGCTGGAGTAATCCCCAGTCCTTTGGCTATGGGTCTAGAAACAGCTGGTAGAGGGGAGAACTCTTATTTGAACCTTTGGATTAAAAACAGGGGCAGTTACTGAGCACACTGGTGTTGGCATGATGGAGGGAAAGGGATGCTCTGAAGGCCACACGCACTCTGGAGTCCAACAAAACTGTCCTAAAGGTCGGTGAGGTAAAAGCCAGTCCTGGGGTGGGATGGAAACATTGGGGACAGTCTCAACACAAGCAGGCTCCAGAAGCTTTACCTCAGTAGCCAGAGGGAAAGCCCAGCTACTTCTATGGAAGGAGGAGCCCTCCTTGATGGCTTGGAGCCTCCCTGTGTTCAAGCCCACGTTACACCTCTTCACACAGCCACAAGAGGCCAAGCAAACAGGCAGAATGCTGAGCCCACAGTGCAGAAGGAAACACACTATTGTAACCACGAGCAAAAGACAGTCCTGCCCTGGTATTGGCTGGGGCCACGTGCCAAGAGGAGGCTGCTGAGTTGCAGCTTTGACTGCCTGGCTCCTGCAGGGCCTTCTGACATTCGTTTCCCTCCACTACCAAATCCCCAACTATCAGATGTTTCATTTTCTTAAAACCCAGCCCTTTCCTTACGCTTTGCCTGCCCAGAATGTACTCACAGTGGCCCTTGTGGATGCTAACACCTATAGAAGAGGCCCGTTGATCCCTGGGTGCTGTGAGGGAGCAGTGTTTGCCTCTGCCCACCAAGGGACCACTCTCACAAAGCTGGTCAGAGCCCCGGGGCACAGCAGTTCAAGCAGCTCCTCACAGACTTCCTGCAGCTCTGGTCTCCAAGAAATCCACAACACAAAAGTCCACTGCTGTGGAGACCACCAGCAGGTCAGAGATGCTCAGTATGCCCTCGTTCACAGTATGCCTGTTACAGTCTTCCTGCTCCTTCTGGGCCAGCCCTGGCGCAGGCTGAGCTTTGGTGGCCTAGGGACACTGCATTTGCTCAGCAACATGCTCAGCTCCCCAAGTGGGGCAGCAAGCTGCACAGGTCCTTCCTAGAGACCAGATGGATGCCACCCCATGACAGAGCTAGGCTGGTGCCAGTGCACTTCTGAGATGAGCTCCTGCTCACCTGGGAAGACTCCTTGGGGTGATCCAGAGAGCAACAGCCCTGCTGAAGCTTATCCCTGACCCCTTACCCCACCCACGGGTGGCAGACCCTAAACTCATATGAAGCAAAGAAACGGACACATTTAGTAAAAGTGGTTCTGGTGTGTGCAGAGAGGCACGTTAGAGTGTGTAAGGACTGCAAAGGCAGAGCAAGAGGAGGATGTGAGGAAGGAATGGCTATGAGAGGAAGAGGCCTGGCAGGGGCCCAGGCCTGTTTCCAAGTATTTCCTTCTCAGAGGATCAGACCTGACCAGCGAACGATGGGCCCCTAGTGGCATGACGCATCCCCCCCCCAAGGCTCCTACAGGCCCCTGCACTCAGCTGCAGGGATGACTGGCATGAGGTTCCTCACGGGGACCCTTCCTGTGGAGCCGCCCCTCCCAGGCGCTTTGTTAGGGTGGGCTCCCAGCAACTGGCGACGAGGGAGCCTGGAAGGTAGTGTGCCACAGCCTCCCCTCAGAGGTGTAAGCACAGTGTGGAGCCCTGCCTGGGGGGAAAGGAGGTGGGACCTCGCCTGGAGATCACAGAAGGGAGAAGCTCCACAGAGTTCCCTGCTGGGATAGCAGCTGTGGCTGGGAAAACAAGTCCACCAGCAGCTCAGCACAGGCTCCAACCAAAAGGCAAACAAGAACTAAGAGCATGCTTTGCCCGCCTGGTGAACTCAGAGATGTGGGCGGGGAGGTCCAGGGAGTGAGAAGGAAACAGACCCTTCACATCTCACCCCACTCTTGACAGTGTGCCTGGAAGGCCAGGCCAACGTGTGTCCCTACACCTGGGCCTGGACTGCCCTGGCCATGGCCAGCTCTGATCACATACCTGTGAGGTGGACATGCGAGAGGTATCTTGTCGGCCTGTGAGATCTGACGAGGAGACGTTGACTGGGGCCCCTCGGTGCAGCCGCATGCTCACTTTCCGCTCCCGTTCCATGCCAGAGACAGGCCGAGGAGAGGTGTTGGCTAGAGAGGGAAAGAGCCATGGCTGCTGAGGCCCCGTGGCTTCCCACATCCCACTGGCCTGCCACAGACCACCACAAGGGCTCTGGATGGATTCTCCCACATCTGTTCACAGCTCATTGATCCAGGCAGCCCAGCAACACTGGCTGGCAGTGCACTCTGAGCCCAACATCATTGCACACAGGGGACTGAGAAGTTCATGAGGGGGACACTTCTGTATGGGAAGGAAGTTTCATCTGAGAAATCACCAACCCTGGTGGAGAGCTTTCAGGGAACCCAACATCCCACAGGCTGTATGCCCTGGCCTCCCAAAAGGCCACCAAACACAAGATAGACAGAAACCCGGTGTCCACTCCCTGGGCCTGCTGGGAGGTGTGCTCACCCGTGTGTGAGGTAGGGGTCAGGGGTGTTGGGGGAGCCACTTCCTGGGTCCCCCGCAGGCGGCCAGAGGCTGTGGAAGGGAGGCCACGGGTGGCTGGATTCCGGGAGTGTCTCAATCGCTCCTCTCGGTCCCGGCGTTCCCGTTCAGCATCATCTGCAGCCCGGCTGGCACCCTGAGGAAGACACAGCACCATCCCCTTGAGTGGCAAGAGCCTGCCTCCTAGAGGAAACCCAACTCCTACTGCTGTGGCAAAAGGACCTGGGTCTGTCTAGCTTCTATCTTTGAGTCCTTACCTGTGAACATGATTGTGCATGGGGGAGGGGGACGATGGGAGACTGCCCAGACCAGGGTAGGCAGGGTGGCAGCAATGGGTCACAAAAGGGTCCAGCCAGAGTCCAGATCCCAGACCAAAGGGAAGGTCATGTCAGTGATGACAGCCCCACCTGCCCCATGCACACTCAAGTCCCTGCAGGACCACCCCAGTGCTCTGGGCATCTGACTGTGAGCAGCTAAGCTGAGGCACCAGCTTACTGAATGGTCTGTTCTCACCACCAATGCTACCAGGCAGACTCTGCAAACCAGCCCACAGCCAAATTCCAGTGCCATCCGTATTACTGGACAGAGACACACCTCTACCCACTCCCAGGTGGCCCATGGCTGCCATGAGGCTATATGGCAGAACTAAGGGATTGTGATCCTGCATAGCCAGGAAAGCTGGTGATGTGTTCCTTGGCCCTTTCCAGAGCAGCTCTGCCTGGCTGGCTGTGAGACCGAGATAGTGCAGAAACCACACTGGAGAAGGGTGCTCTGGGGCTCCGCGCTGGGCAGCCTGCAGAAGCAGCACAGCACTGCCCTCTCAACCCGACAAAGGCACCAGGTCCTGTAGCCTGGGCCAGCCCATTCTGCAGAGCACTCTCCTCCCAGCACCATGCTTGGTCAGATGGCTCTAGTTCAGGGTTCACCCTTGCCCCTCGGGGAGACCGGACTCATGGAATAGTGGTTTAGACAAGACAAGGCTTCTAATTTTGCACTCCTGAGAAGACACCTCTGTTCCTCCATTGGATTTGATCATCAGGTTTTAATTTCTATTTCCACCTACGAAGGATACATTTTTAATAAAAGAAGACACAAAAATTCCCCAGAAACTTGAATTCTGTCAGTGGTGTCTAACGTTAGTGATTTAAACTCACATTGCCAACCCAGGATGGGTGGCCCAGCGGCTCCTGGGCCTCCCTCCTGCACCCAGGGATTCTCACATACTTCTGATGAGCCAACTGGGATGTCAGAGGAGACCAAAGGTGAAACAGCCTGTTATAGAGCCCAACCAGGCTGAACTCTAGGCTGCCCACCTGCCTGCTCTCTTAAGGCTCCTGGGTACACCCTGGACTCAGATGAACTGAGAGAGGGGGGCAGCCTGGAGAGACTGTCATGCTTTCCAGCAGTGTGCTGGTAGGTACCAGGCTACATCCCTACAGGGGGCTAGCCCCCAGGTTCTCTGAATTGGTGATGGCAAGATGGGTCCAGCGGTGCATGTCTGTAATCCCAGAGACTTGGGAGGCTGAAGCAGGAGGATCATGAGTCGAAGGCCAGCCTGGGCAACTTAGAGACCGAGTCTCAAAATGAAAAATAAAGAGGGCTAGGGATGTGGCTCAGTGATAGGAAGAGTGCCCTGAGTTCCAACCTGGGTGCTCTGCTCTGGGCAGATCTGCACCATGGGCTCACTCCAGGGCATACACTACCCACACCAGCAGTCTCCACAGGCCCCTTTGCTTGCCCTGATGGCAGCTTGCTTCTTAGAATCCTGAGCCTGCAGGTAGATGCCCACAGAAGACCAAAAGATCAGCTTTCTCACCTCAGCCAGTGACTTTTGACACCTGAATCCCACACAGCACAGATCTGCACGCAAAACTAGGAGGTGCAGCTCTGACCTACCCAGGGCTGGACTTGCCTGTCCCAGGAGGAGACAGGACTGAGTGGGCAATGCCACTTACAAACTTGAGCATGTTCCAGTCGAACACATAGTCGTAGGAGAAGCCCTGGCGGTGGAACAAGTTTCTGAAGAGCTGCCTCAGGTAGGAGTAGTCGGGCTTGTCATCAAAGCGCAAGGAGCGGCAAAAGTTCAGGTACGTGGCAAACTCAGCTGTAAAACAAGGAAAGACCTGAGGCTAATGACGGAGGCCGACTACAACCCAGAGTGTAGTTATCAACCCCTGCACACCACCCTGGCTCTTCACACTGGAGGCATGCAGGTGAAATCTGAGGAGGATTTCACAGTCATGCTGAGGAGGAGCTGCTGGGAGCCAGCAGGGGCTAGGGATGGAGCTAGGTTAAGTGCCATCACTAACTGGTGAATCCCAAGTCCAGATGTATGTTGATGGAGCTGTATCAAGCTGTTCCCACTAGGTTCTTATTCTCTTGAAAGAACAAGAGACCCTGGGTTTTAGCCCATCCCCAAAGAACACCAAAAAAGAAAACAAAAAATCACCACCACAGGACAAAATTTAGCTTTTATCTAGTTAATTTATCTTAGGGGCAGTCACAAAACACAGACAGCACCCCTGGGTTATCTGGGGAGGCTGAAGTAGAGTAGGGGCAGCTGACTGCAGTCAGCTTAAAGGCAGAATGATCACTGTGTCCCTCCCCTTCCTAAGTGCACAGGCAGTTTTCTGAGGCTGGGTCCTGTCTCTCCCGAGCCTCATAGAAAGGCTCTCAAAAATGCATCAGCAGGAGAGGGCTGCCTGTTACCCTACACAGAAACACCCCTTTCTTGCCACCCTTCCTGTAGAAGATGTAGGCAGAGTGACTCTGCAGTGGCCCTGGGCACAGGCACCACCCCACACAGGAACAGGCTGTGGCTGCTACGAGGAAGGACGGCGAGGGACTCACAGGGATAGCCTTTGCACAGCACTTCGATGGGAGTAGACATCTTCTTCTCACTGATCCTCTCATACTTCTGCCTCTTGGTGGCGGCCTTCAGCCCCTGCCAGGGGAGAGAGCCCAGGTTGAAGTACATCAGCACGTACCCCAGAGACTCCAGGTCGTCCCTTCGAGATTGTTCTGGAAAGAAAAGGGGAAAGTATGAAGGGCAGTACATGTGTGCACACATAAAAGCAAAAGATTAAGCAAGCATGACCATAGAAGCCAACTTTAAAAATAGCAGAAAAATAGCCAGGTGTGGTGGTGTAGCAGTGTAACTCCAGCAACTCGGGAGGCTGAGGCAGAATGATCCCAAGTCCAAGGCTAGCCTTAACAACTTAGTGAGACCCTGTCTTGAAATCAAAAACAAAAGGGATGGGGAGGGGGGTTGTAGCTTACTGGTAGAACACCCTGGGGTCCAAAATTCCCAGTATCACAACAACAACAATAAAAAGTGTGCGCATACACACATAAAAACATTTAAAATAACAGAAAAATGTATATGAATGGCTTCTTTACCAGAAGTGTCCCTTGCATGCTATTAAGGAAATCCCCAAACACCCCAGCTGAGTACCATCAGTGGCTCCAGCAGTCCTGAAGCTAGCCTGTCTGCTATGATGGTTGGACAACAGCCTCCAGACCTCTGGGTTCTGAGCACTGTACATGACCACAACCCCAAGGTCACCTGAGAAGCTGGCCTTTCCCAAAGCTGAGGGACAGATATGCCCAGTGGCACCACGACCTAGGCTCACCGATTCCGAGGTGTGTGTTGATGGAGGCGTACCGCGCCGTCCCAGTGAGGTTCTTGTTCTCTCGGTACGGAATGTGCTGGTGGGTCCTCGCATCCCGGTACTTCTTGGCCAGCCCAAAGTCAATGATGTAGACCAGGTTGCCCTTTTTCCCCAGGCCCATGAGGAAGTTATCTGGCTTCACATCTCGATGGATGAAGTTCTTTGAATGAATGTACTCAATACGACTAATCTACAAGGGGAAAATCAATGCAAGAAGCAATTCAAGACCTCTTAGAACACCAGCCTCAAGAGAGGCACATGCTCTCTCTTCCTCAGCCAGAGCAGAGTGAACACACCACCAGGAAGGTGGACTGGAAACTGACCAGTTGCATCCCCAGGCAGCTCCAGCTCCCCTGCCCCAGGCCTGGGTTTCTCCTCTCCCTAGCTCTACAGGGGTGGACAGACAAAAGACTCTGTTAGACAATAGTGTCCACCAGCGAGACTCTGCACCGGCCACACACAAGAATCCCCTCAGAAACCATACCAGAGGTGCTGGGAATCAACTGTGTGATCCTGAGAGAACTTGGGAAGCCCATTCAACGCAACCACATACTCAGGGGGGTGGGGGTCCTCTCTCCAATCCAATTACCCGTGTCATTATCTGAGGCCAAGGAAGCCTAAACAAATTCCTGTCTAACATGCCTAATAATGGTGCAACAGCAGTGAAGTAACATACTCCATCAGGCAATAAGTGTCTACCAAGGGTCCATAGTGTTTGGGCAGAGACAGGAAAGCTTACCATTTGGTCAGCAAGCAGCAGAACAGTTTTGAGACTGAACTTCCTGGAGCAGAAGTTGAAGAGGTCCTCCAGGCTGGGCCCCAGCAGCTCCATCACCATGACGTTGTAGTCCCCCTCGGCCCCACACCATCTGATGGTAGGGATGCCCACTGGAAGAGAAGCCAAACAGAGCACTTGAGCCTAGGTCACAGCACCAACTAGCCTCTACTCAACTGACAGGCATCAGAGGTACGGGCTAGTGTTGGGGGGGGTCAGAAGATCCTGGCAAGACCTGTCCTCAAGAACCTGAAGCTACGATTAAGCCACAAATGCTAAAAACAACACAGAACAGACTCTGTTGAGGGTTAGAGCAGTCAGTGATGGGAAATGAGATGCACCTATGCTGACTTCACACCGCTGACCTCCAAGGGTGGGGAGTGCAAAGCCCAGGAAAGAGAAGGCAGGAGGAGCAAGACAGCCGTGTGTGCTGACTGGCCAGCAGGGCCTACAGGGCCTACAGGAGAGAGACCACAGCCTCAGAGAGATGTGCAATGCCAGATCAAGAAACAAAAGAGAGAGGAGCTGCTGTGGGCTGGCAGGAGAGAAGACATTCTTGTTATTCACTTCTGATGTTGATGAGAAAAGCAAGAGCAGTGGAAACTCTTGGGGATACAAATAACCCAGATTTTTAATAGACAACTCAGTGGAAGACAGATTAAAGAAGACAGGATAAACCTAACAGAAACAACTGACCCAGAACGCCACAGGAGGGAAGGGCAGATCTGAAGACATGAATTAGTGTGACCCACTCCTGAAAAACTGGCACCAGAGCCCACGCACAGCCACCAGCTACAGGAAGGCACACAGTGAAGCTGAGGGCATGAGCTGATGGGAGCCTCCAGGTTAGGACCTGAGTGCTACAGGAGCAGGCACATGCTCACAGGACCTCCAGAGCACACTGCCTGGTTCTCTGCTTGCCCCACAGCAAACTCCCATGAGACCCTCCTCACACATATCCTGACTACTGTCCTGGGGGCAGGTCACAAGTCTCTTGGCCCTTCCAAAACAAGACTCAGCCTTATAGTACGCGTTGATGCCAGCAGGAAAATCCACTCATCAAAAATCATTTCAAGGTGGGCAAGGTGACAACACACCTGTAATCCCAGCAACCTGGAAGGCTGAAACAGGAGGACTACAAGTCTAATGCCAGACTCAGCAATTTAGCAAGATCCCATCTCATAGTAAAAAGGCTAGGGATGTGGTTCAGTAGTACCCCTGGTTTCAATCCCCAGTGCCAAAAGAAAAAAAAAAAAAAAAAGTCGTTAGCTTTTTCCTTGGTAAGTAATGTTTTAAATATTTTATATTAAGAAATCGTTTCTTACCTCAGAGTCAGGAAGAAATCTATTTATTACTTTCTTATAAAAATGTAGAAGTCATTAATTGTACTTCTAGCAGAGATGGAGTAAGAGGAACACAAACATCCTCACACTTAAAATATCCAAGGAAAACCCCCAAACCACACAAAACATGGAAGAAAGTTTCTAAGACAATCACAGTCTCAGGCAGACAACAAACATAACTTCTCACCTGCACCCCAGTTTCTGAGTGTGACCATAAAAGCAAGAATCAAAAAGACCCATGTAACTGAACTTCATTCCAGAACACAACTGAAAAAAAGGTGAGCAACGTGAAAATGCACGGCCCACAAGAGGGTGGAATTACCAATGCCTGGTATCCGAAGGCCACCAGGTACACGAGGAGGTTTTAAGGCAGAAAACCACCCAGTGAGGTCAGGCCCAGAAACTGACCCAGCTGCTGGAATCAGCAGAGAATGGCACAAGATCTAAGTTATAATGAGGTAAAACTGACAAGGAAGTTAAAGGCTCGGAGATATAAAGACCCAAATCTAATGTCTAGGGCTGAGAACTACAGCGTCTGGAGCGAAAAAACCCACCAAGTGGAATAAGGAATCACACCACAGACTCACCCACAACAGCCAGCACTGAAACTCAGAGCAGGCCAGCGAGAGCCCCCGGGAGCCGTGGACGGGAAAAAGGGAAGAGGACAGACGCCAGCTCTGTGAAGCAGAAGCACAGAACCACGCTAGGCACGCTGCATGGTCTGTGGGTATCTCTGCAGCCCCAGCAGCCCCGCACCACCAGTGAGGAGGGAAGTCTTTTCTGCAGAGGAGGAAAAGCCAGGCGCCAGGCCTGGACTTTCACAAGGGGAACACAGCAGCCACCGACAGCCCACCCTTGTCATCATTATTTTATTTGAATCAAATTGGCCATTTGATAAAAATTGAAAGATAAGAATAAGCCTACCTGGGATCATGGGTAACCCTCTATTGCAGAAGTCACTCAAAGAGTTGACTCACGAATGCAAAGCACTCTGAAAAATTTCAGCACCCTGATCACCAGTGTGTGAATCAGACCAAGTCTTCAAATAGCAAAGACACACATAAGACACACAATAACTCTGACAATCCAGTTTACTTCTAATCTCAAGATTCTGAGAACAGCGAGTGACCTTAAAACACCAGTGGTCACTGTGAACCAGTTCCACGCAGGCCGCAGGATCCCTGGACATGCAGGCCCACCTGCTGAGTGGGCACCTCTTTCCTTCGGCGCCATGTTCTGGGCTCACTGTAGCTCTTCCTGCCCTGCTCTAGACCTGGCCATTTCTCCAAGCAGTTTGGGCTCCTCTCAGTGGGAACCATGCAAGGGCCAGGTGTGTCACTGCTCCTAGGTCCCATCTAGAGCCACAGCAAGACAGTTCTGATCAGAAGCACTCCACAGCATGCTGCACTACTTGGAGTATGGAATTCAACTTGCCCCTTCCCTCTTCTCCCTCAATTCTAGACTCATCTTATCAAGTGAGAAAAGCTGCTGGATTTTGATGAAAATTTCACTGAATTTAAGAGCAACTCAGAAAACTGACATTTCAAAGTATTCCTTTCCAGATAGCTTTTGTATGGGTTTCTTTTTTTGCTACTTTAAACGCATTTTTAAAACTACATTTTGTTAACTGATTATTGTTGGTGTAATGAAATGAAAAGACCATATTTTTCTCTTCAGCTAAACAAAACTTATCTCTTTCTAGGTTCACCAAGTAAAAATTTTATTGTCTATAAAAGTTACAGAATATAACTGTACTATACAACATTCAGAGCTGTGTCTATCTGGATACACAAGTGGCACAGACTCACCAAACTCTGGGTGCACCCAATCCAGTGCCCTCTCCTTCCAGGATGAGGGCAGCACTAACACAGTGGTAACATTGTTACCACCTGTGGCATTAAAAACAGAATAAAGTACAGTTACCACCAAAGGGCTCCTGCTCTCAGGGATCCCTGGCCAGAAAAGATGAAGCTTTGTGGCATGCTTCATTCTCAGCTGCCAGCAAACGGGTGAAGCCTGTGCAGAGTGGCCACAGAAACACTCAAGAGGACATCCTGCTGATGCAAGGTAAAGAACCTTCTGGTCACAGGCTAATAAACAGGACTCTGTGAAACCAGGCATTTCACACCAGCAAAATCCAGAAGCGGGGGGCTGGGGATGTGGCTCAAGCGGTAGCGCGCTTGCCTGGCATGCGTGTGCAGCCCGGGTTCGATCCTCAGCACCACATACAAACAAAGATGTTGTGTCCGCCAAATACTAAAAAATAAATATTAAAATTCTCTCTCTCCCTCTCTCTCACTCTTTCTTTAAAAAAAAAAAAATTAAAAAAAAAAAATCCAGAAACGGATCTGTGCCTGAAAAGTACCAATTCTGGTGTTTTTGTGGAAACAACTGAGGCCAGCAGAGACCCAAGCACCACAAGGAGGACACCAGCTACTGCTGTTGCCACTTATAGCTGTGAACCCAGATGCTTCCCCTTATGGGGCCTAAGAACCAGACAAATGTTTGGGATGAAAACCAGGGGACAGAGTCATATACTGGCACAAACCTTCCTTATGATTTACAAGAAGATACACTACAAATGTGGGGACTCAGCATTAATACAAATAAAAGTCTTCATGAATTTTTCAGCAATTTTAAGATGACTAAAAATAACGCTCGAGTTGTGGATCAGTGCTAGAGCACTTGCCCATCAAGTGTGAGGCACTGGGTTTGATTCTCAGCATCCATATAAATAAGTGAATAAAATAAAGGTCCATCAACACCTAAAATAATATTAAAAAAAAAAAAAGATGACTAAAAATAAAAATGGCAGCTGGGAACATTGGTGCAGGCCTGCAATCACAGATCTCGGGCAGGCTGAAGTTGGAGGATCTCAAGTTCAAGGCCTCACTGGGCAAAACTGCAAGACCCCAATTTAACAAACAAAACACCTGCCAAATGTTTCCTGACATATCATTAGTTAAATTTTTTAAAACATTAATGTCTTGTGGGATGACAGAAATAAAAACAGAGCAGGGCTGGGGTGCAGCACAGTGGCAGAGGACTTGCCTAGTGTTCATTAGCTCTGAATTTGATGTCCCACACTGGAAAACAAAAACCAAAAACCCTGGAAACATCAAGGGGCAAGTGCCTGTGGAGACAAACTCGTGCAGGGCAGGTGCCCATGCTCCAGCAGGGAGCCCAATTTTCTGCTGGGGTGAGTGGCACAAGCGTCCACTCTATCACCCACCACACCTTTCTTGACACACACGCTTACAGTTCCCCACACCTCGTGACAGAAGGATCATGGTGTGTGCACCCCTGCCTACAGAGACCCCACTCTCCCTGCCCCAGACCACACCAGCCACTTTCAACCTGGACCAGAAGCAGCTGTGAACCCAGTAAAATGTTCTCTGCTGGGGGGCTTACTAAGAAGAGCATTCTAAAGCTACTCCTGGGCACATTAGGGTTGGAAAAGAGCAGTGACTTTGGTCTCTAGGTCTATCTGGCAGTCACTTAGTGTCGGTAAACACTGGCTGTCTATCCCAATCTTTCACCAACATGGTTAATTTTAATTTATTTCTGCTCAAGTTTTCTCCCCGCCCCCCCTTTTGGTACTGGAGATTTAACCTAAGGTGCTTTACTACAGAATCATCTCCCCAGCACCACCCTTTTAAAATTTGAGACAAGTTTCACTAAGTTGCCTAGGGCCTCACTAAATTGCTGAGATTGGCCTTGAACTTGTGATCCTCCTGCCTCAGCCTCCCAAGCCACTGAGATTATATGTGTGCACCACTGTTTTCAACCTATTGTCTCAACCAGATTGTGAATAGATGGAACTCTCTGGGCTCCTAATGATGCTCAGTGCTGCAGGGCAGAATACTCAAGTTCCTGCCTGTGTCCCTGGAACACCAGGAAGTCTCCTGTACCTCACTTGCAGCATGTGGTTGAGGAGTCAGTATATACTACACAGAAACACCTTGACTTGAGGACAGCGTGTCTCCCTGAAGCAGCGTGACCACCCGAGTGCAGTAGCTCTCTGGTCAGGCACTGTGGCACTACCAGCCTTACAAGTTTCCCAGATGAATGTGTTGCAAGTCAGAGAACGATCACATCCATTCTGCCCTGACTTTCTCTTCCAGCACATCCTGAGATGACCCACATTAAGCAAGGTCAGAACAAGCACTGTCAAGAGTTAATTGTTGTCTCTTCCTGAAGAATAACCCACAACCACCTATGCAGAGGACATGCTGCAAGAGGCTGGAGTGCAGCAAAGCACAGTGATTTCCAAGCAGAGCAGGTGCCTTCATCCTGTACCTGCTGACCCTAGTGTGGTCCTGGCTAGAATTCATCCAACAGGAACTGCTGAACACAGCATGCTCTTATTCCCCTTTTGTGGTACTAGAACCTGGGCTCTGTGCATGCCAGGCAAGCACTCTACCACTGAGCTGCACCCTCAACCCTTTTTGTTTTTTAAAACAAAAATCTTGCTAAGTAGGCCAATCTGGCCTCCAACTTGTGATCCTCTTGCTTCAGCCTCCCAAGTAACTGGGATTACAGGAGTGCACTGTGATGCCCAGGTGCAACATTATGTGTTTTCTAGAGCAAACCTTCAAGGTATCTACCAAACACGCAACAGGGTTCAAAACCCTGGTTTATCCAATAGTAAAACCCGACCCACGTCTGGGGAATGGCAATCAAAGGCCCAAATGGAAGAAAGCCCATTTTTTTGGAATCATGTCTGGATTCCAGAATCCTGGAAAAGCGATGTGGGCAAAAACAAGGGAGCAAGTGATTCCTCCCACTCTACATTAAGTTCAAAGCAGGAGGCAATACTGCCCACCAGGGGCAGCTGGCATGGTCTGCAGACAGCTCTCCACAACTGAGGAGGAGAGAAGCAACTGGCAGAGAAGAGCATGCACAGGGAGCAGCAATGGTGCTGGATTTGAGACCTCCTGGGTGGAATAGGTTCCTCTCTGGCCATTGCCAGATGTCTGCACCAGTGGGACAGTTCTTCCCTCTCCCATCACAGGCTCCCCCAGTTTGCATGTTCTCATGAAGAATCACTCCTTAATGCTTTTTTTAAGCTTGTAGGTTTTATGTAACCCCCAGCAAAGGTCAAACCCAGTGTCACCTTGTTCTACCCTACTCGTCACAACCTAAAAGCTGCATTATAATTTCTACGCCCCAGAGAAGCTGATCCTCTACAGAAGGTCCCTCAGAGAAGTCTCTGGCGACCTCTCCTTGGGACAGTGGAGGAGGAATGACACCAGAAGAGTTTTCATCACCGTAGCCTCCTCTGGTCACAAAGCCCAGGACACGGTGCTCTGGACATCACTAAGATGAACCACAGAAACAGGTACAGGTATGCTATTTTGAGATGTATCTGCAGCCAAAGACACTTTGTTACAAAAATGCTGCTTTTGTGGTGAGAAGACCTCAAGCCTCAAAGATTCCCTCAACATCCTCCTTCTCCTACTGGCCCTTTTGGTCAATGAAGACAATGTGGACAAATGAGGGGGACTCCCTCTACCCTCCAACTATAACAGTACTGAAGGCTACTTCTAGCAAAGTGCAGCCATCCCTCAGATACAAACACTGCTCCCAAATGGGTTCCCTCACTCAGGCCAAGACCGCACCCTCAGATGAACATGTTGGTGAGCCCCACCCTCCACAATGTTGCTGTTTCCATGGCTTTGAATTTCCCAATAAAAATTCTCTTCTGCTCCACTAAAACTATATTTTAAGTCCAGAAAATTCTAAAAGCAACACTTCTGAGATCAAGATGGATACTCTCTGGTTCCAGATCTGGTACACCTACTGGATTCAAGCACCCCAAGGTCCTGGGGCAAGGTTCCACAGAACTGGAACAGGGACTGACCTGGAAAGTGTCACAAAAGTTGCTCAGTTGAAAACTTTTATTGTATTCAAGAGAAAACTGAAGCCAGACAGTCTGAAGGGACCCCCAAAGCTGTAAACACAATATGTGACCCACCAGAGGCCATAGTACAATATGCAATATCACTGGTGACACCTGCCACCATCAATAGACACCATGTATTTTAAAATTCACACAAATCCTACATTTCAAGGACAGTATAACCTAGCAGAAGCTAAGAAAAGTGGTATGTAAGCAGAAAAGTATACAACTATTTCTCTTTGTTGAGTGAGGTCTTATGTGGCCGAGCCAGTCTCTTCAAGGAAGAAGCCACAAACAACTTGGTCAAGGGTATGGACAGATACCTTTCCCTACTTTCCCAAAATAAACCAGAGATTGGCTTGAGACACATCCTCTCTTATTGGATAAAACCTTGGCTTTCTCCTTCAACAGGTAAAGGACATACCTCCTCCTTGCATCATTTTGTAGATTTTGCTCTCAATGTGGAGCTGAGGGTGTTTGGTTTTGACACATTCAAGCTTGATGGCAACCTCTTCTCCTGCAGCAATATCCGTACCTTGGCAAAGAAAGAAAACCATACACATTAATCATCTGATGTCTACCAAATGACCCAACGTCACAGTTCACTGCAGAAATGCTGGTAGCTTTTAATTTTCTGAGATAAACCAATGATGGATGCTCTCCATTTTCAAAAATGGTATCAACGGTTGACAATTGTCTGACATGCATAAGAAAGTTCATTTGGAATTCTACCACCTGCTTACATCTGTACCCATGCCAGGGTTGCCACAGCCAAAGGGCCTTCCTTTCTGGTCTCCAACTTCCTTTCAGCCCTGTCCACCGGCCTCTGCATTCACTTGCCCAGGGCATGCCACTGGAAAGTGCCATGATATTTCTCCATGCTGCCTTAATAGGCCTTTGGGAGTGTGCTTGAGTCTCCCTCTAGAATGAGGGAGGGGGTTTAAATGCCAAACCTCCACAGCCTCAGTCCAGACAGGCATAGCATCCACTCATCACAACCCTCGGCAGTCAGGCAGTTTCAAGTAGGCCCAGTGCCTACGTAGCTGCAGAAGCCATTTCCAGCCAGACTCTCAATTAAGCCAAAGGATTCCCTCACTCCCTTCCAGGGGACGTTAGATCAGAAAAAAGGACCCTTCCCAGGGCTCCACTGGTACCACCTATGGAACATATACTGGGCACACAACTTTTGTCAGTTGGTGACTAATACTGTAATGAACTACTCTATGAGTTTAGAGTTTTTTATTTTTATTTCATTCTTTAAAATATTTTTTTAGTAGTCAATGGACCTACGCAGTGCTAAGAATCAAACCCAGTGCCTCACACATTAGGCAAGTGCTCTACCACTGAGCCACAACCTCAGCCCAGTTTAGAGTTTTTATGTAGGGATGTCATGCCTCGGTTTTTCTCCAATAAGGACCCGCAGAGCTGGCAACCACCTTTTCTCCAGGCTCACAAGAATGTTCCCGAGCCCATGCCTGACCTGAAGCCCTGCTTGATAACTCCTGACCCGTTTTCATCACACGATGCAGCCAAGGGCTCTGAAAACAGAAACAAGGTCTTCTGCGATGGCACACCTGGCCCTCCTCTCCCCTCAAAGGGTCCTTCTAAATAGGAAGTACTAGCTACTCAGGAGGCTGAGGCAGGAAGGTCATAAGACTAAGGTCAGCCTGGACAGTTTAGAAAGATCCTGACTCAAAATAAAACAAACAAAAAAGGGCTGGGGATGTAGTTCAGTGGTAGAACTCCCCTGGGTTCCATCCCCAATACCATGCCCACCCCTGACAAAAGTACAGAACACTTTCCTCCTGCCCAGGGATGTGGTCATTTGCAAAGTGATTAACAGGGCTCCCACAAGCTGAGACTCCTAGGAGACCCCCCCCCTTTGGAGGTTGTGCTAGACAGACTGCAGTGGAGGCAGAGCAGTCTGGCCAGCTCTAAGCAACTCAGCTTCTCTTCTCAGTTGAGATGGGTTGAGGGGACTCTGCAGACTGTTTCACAGGGAGCTGGGGATATGAAGGGGCTATGGTTGCACAGAGCTTGAGTCCCAGAGGAATACCAGATCAAGGCCAACAAGCATGAGGACATGACTGCTGTCCAGCGAGCCCCCAAGAACCAGTCACTCTGGTGGCTCAGAGTTCTGCACAAGACGCAGCACTCCCAGAAGCCTACCAAAGCCCCTGGGCAACGCTGAAGATCTGCAGAGCTAATAGCACCTGATCATTACCAGTGACCACTCAGATTTAACTTCACATACCATTCAATAGACACTTTGGGGGCAATCACAAGATGGTAACAGAGCTCATTCTTCCTGCCCACAGCTGGGACAATCTATCCAATTGCAAAAGAAATGACTTCATCTAAAACATACCATGCGGATGAAAAATGACCTCCGAGTTCCCCTAAGGACCTGGACTCTGAGCTGAACTCACCATCCAGGAGGAATGATGACTCATCTCACCAGTTACATCAGCGACTCCCTGCACCTCAAAGCAGCACAGCTCCGGGGGACAACACCACGCTCCTTGCCAGCTGGCAAGTCCACACTGATAGGACAGTCTAGGACCAATGAACCTAGGACCAGGATCTTCACGAAGACAGAGGATGACTCTACCTAGTACTCTGCAGCTGATAAAGCTCATGTCTAACGTCACCCCTACAATACTGACAGTTGTGGGAACAAATGACCACTGGCAACTCTGAAACATAACCTGAATTATATCCTGCCATGCATGTGTTATAACAGCAAACAGAGCCGGTTTTCCTGCAGGACCATACAGGAAGATTGCCCTGAATCTGCTGACCAGCTGGAAAGGAATGGTAGTTGTTTAGGAACTTAGCAGGACCCTGTCTCTAAATAAAAAATTAAAAGGGTTAGGGACATGGCTCAGTGGTTAAGTACCCCTGGGTTCAATCCCTGGCACGCATACACACATACACACACACACACACACACACACACACAGAAAGGCAAAAATCAACCAAAAAAGACAAATGCTTGAAAGTAGTACACTCTTACACCCTCCAGGATTTCCTCCATGGACTTCATTACCTATCAAGAAGAAAGACCAGGCAGACAGCTTCTGTGCACCCTGCAGGTCCCAATGCAAACCCACTAGCCTGCAGCCCTGAAGCCCTGCCCCACCTCCCTGGCTGGCAGCATCCCCATGCCCCACCAGCAATGCTTCCCTACACTGCTACTAATCCTCAAGGGGACAAACACAGGATAAGGAAGCACTGACAAGGTCTGACAGCCATTTGGCATTGTTGCAACATGTCTATCTTATTTTATAAAAGTGGAAATTATAAAACCTGTTCCTTTATTATAAGTATGCCTGAGAAATACTCTAAGAAGGAACAAAGGCATTTAAGAGCTATGATTCAGAACAAGACAAAATCAGGTAACCAGCAGATGTTTATTCAGGTTGTATATTTGAGGACATTAATCAAACCCTTTTTTGTGCACCTCAATGATTCTGGTCTTCTGTTAAGACAGGGCTCCTTCACTCAGCATAAATGTCGGTCTGTGTTTAGACATAGGATATTGCTAATTCCAAAAAGACAAAATTATGTCCTTTGAGTTGAGCAGATAATAACAAGTAGTGAGTACTGGTGTTGTGGCTCAGTTGGTAGAACGCTTACCTAGCACATGCAAGGCACTGGGTTCCATCCTCAGCACCACATTAAAAAAATTAAATAAATAAAGGTAACATGTCCAACTACAACTAAAAAATAAATACTTTTTAAAAAGAAATAACAAATAGTGAATTACATAAACATAACCCAGAGTATGACTCTGTCCTGGAATAGGAAGGAGTCACGCTAAATTACCAGTGTGGCTGTTGGTAATTCCCACCCAGGGTTATCAATAGAAAAAAGGGAACCACCTTGGAACAACAGGTCAAAGTCATCTCTCAAGGAAACTGACAAGGTGGTGTGGAAGAATATCATGACTTCTCACTGAGATGCTCATGTAATACCAAATTCCAAGGTAAATGGAGTCCCAGTAAGAGGCAATGACTGCTCTATTCTCATGGTCAGCCAGCAGTGGGGTCACTCGCCAGAGACATCAGGGTAGTGAGGGGGAAATGTGAAAACCAGAGATGAATAGGTTACTAAAGTTTAGTTCCCCAAATATGGGACATCACATAGTCTGATGCACAGTCCATCCAGGTAAGAGATGGACGGACAGATGAGAATCCCAGAAACTGAAGGAGTGATGGTGAAACAGTTGTCAAGAACAAACTCCATTCTCCTAGCTGGGTCCTTGACCATACCGCGTGCTTCTAGAAAACAAATGATGAGACCAAACCTAGACCACATGGCACCTTGCAGGCACTCTATCCACAATGGCTAACACAGTGACGCTCCACTTACCATGACACCATCAGACAAACTGGCCTTCAGCCTGGCCCATGCCACAGGCTTTTCTTCCCTGATACCACCACATTGGACTGGGAACACATGGTCCACAACAAGAGCACTGGCTCCATTTTCAGATGTTATCAAGTTTCTAAGAGGCACACTGCCACCCAAAATGAAAGAATTTCTGGTTTCCTCTGCATCAAAAAAAAAAACAACAAACCACCACCTCCAGTGATGGGCTGACACTGGGAAGGACACTGGGCTGAGACTGCCTTAAACCTACCTGCAATACCAGCACATGACATCCTGCCCAGATGTGCTCTCCACAGGCCTGTGGGCTGTGCTACTGTTCCAATCTGCCCCCTAAAGAGCCTTCCACACGGGGTTGGCTTGGACTGAGGAAGGAGACTGGATTTTTCTGGCTCCCATGGTAGCTCCAGTACACACGCTTTCTGAAACTTGGACATTCAAGAAACAGCTCTACATGCTGCCCCTCTCTGAAGGGACAATTTTGGGAAAGATGTGTACAACATGGTGGCACTGCAGCCCTTTCTCCTGGTTACTGCACAGCAGGAGGCCAGAGGGTACAGGCCAACTAGGGGCACTGCCATAAACTCAAGGATAGCGGGCTGGGGATGTGGCTCAAGCGGTAGCGCACTCGCCTGGCATGCATGCGGCCCGGGTTTGATCCTCAGCACCACATACAAACAAAGATGCTGTGTCCGCCGAAAACTAAAAAATAAATAAATATTAAAATAAAATAAAATAAAATAAAATAAACTCAAGGATAGCCTTCCCTTCCTTCCAGTCTCAAATACCTGGAAATACAGAAAAGTCCTGGGTTGAAATCCAAAACTACAGTGTCAGGCTCAAAGGAAGATGAGCCCCACTGGAGGAGTGAAGTGCTTTCTGAAAAACAACCCGAGTTGCCACAGTTAGGAATGGTTTTAATCATACTCACACCAGAACTCACACATAGACTTTAAGTCAAGACCCAGTTCCTCATGTCTGGTTGCAGAAAAATGGTAGATTAGTCCACCCATCCCATGGTCTTCAGACTCTGCACCTTCCATAGACCCACAGTTCCATACTCATGTTAGTACAGCATTTTTGTTTCAGTTCCTAAGTGGGGTGGCTTGAAAGGGGCGCAACGTGGGCAAAGAGACAATGCCAATGTAAAGACTTGTGGTACCCAACCCCATGCAAGTGAGTATGCCCTGATGGACAAACCAGTTCCTTTTAAAACACACAGAGGAGACAAAACAAATCCCTCCGAAGAGGTTGACCCAAATGGTCAAGTGCCCACTGTGTCCAGCACAAGGTACCCAAAGGATGCAACACTGAGGAAGCAGAACACTTGTGAAGTCTGCATGCTCATGCAACATGCTTACACCTCTGAATGACATGTGGCAGCCAAACCACAACTTGATTGTCAGAGTCAATCTTCAGAAAGCACAGTTATTTGGCAAGGTCTCAGAAAGCAAAAAATTTCAAAACACCTACTTTTTGGTGCCTGCAAAAGGGTGCCTAACAGATTGACTTTTCAGTACAACTCCTAGATCCTGAGGTTAAAACCTATGCCAAAATCCATTGTTCTATAAATAAGCTAAACGGCTTCCATTTACCCAGCACTTCTGAGTCCCAAAACACTGGTGAGAAGGCATCTGGCTGACTACTTAATTATAAATATTTAAATAGTGAAACCCAAATGTCTTTACAGCACACTTTTCTCAGCAGGCCATTAAAGCAGAAATACAAATTCAAAAACATCAAATGGCATGTGATGGGGTTACCCTGTAGGTTAACTGGGAACCAAAACGAGTTAAGAACTACCGGACAGTGCTAGTTCATTAACACTGTCAGCCATCAAGGTCCTGGAAAGGGTGAGAGTGAGAAGCACTCAAACTTGGGATAATCTGAAAGGCAAGGCCCAAGGCACTGCTGACTCTCAACCATCCCTGACAGGGAGATACACACCCAGGCAGGGCTGCTCAACATCATAACTTTACCCTAACTCAGGCAGCAGTCGCTCTACAGACCCATCATTGTTAGGCCACACACTCTCAAATTCAGGGGTTTGGAAGAATTTGTACACAATTCCACTGAGAAAATTAATGGAATTTTAAGTTTTCTAGAAAAGTTCAAATTCCCAACTAGAAGCTTTAAGCCAACCTTTTATTACCCGTGTATACCCACATAGATCCTTTTACTAACACAACTCAGGACATCCCCACCCAAATGTTTTTTCAAGTCTACCTTGAGAACTTTAAGTCCAAAGTACAACTCATGAGAACTTTCCTACCGCTCCCCTAGCCTCCACTTCTGCCAACATCTTATCTTTGTCTGAAATCAGCTAAGTTTAGTTATTTTTTATTTCCAGGTATTAAGTATTCAATTCAGATGCTTATAATGTACTCAATTTCTACTCCAAGGTGGAGGGACTCTGACCAGGGCCAGCCAAAGTCCTAGCTCAAGGGGAACATTTTCAGTCTGTTTATGACTAAGGTGGTAACTTGGAGAGACATGGGGCCCCTCCAGTGGGTTAGTTACCTGAAGCTGCCATTTTTGGAAAAGGCAAGATCAGACAGCAACAAGGAGCCTTCAGAACCAGCCCAGGGTTTCCCCATTTGACTGGGCCACTCCCCACCTCCACACTGCACTTGGGTTGTTTTGACATCCCCCCACCACCATGTGCAAGAAGCGGGGTCAGCCTGCAAGTGAGTGGGTGGAGACAGCCAGAGCAAGACCCGCGGTGGAGCCGCGCGTGGCCTTTGTTTACTGCTGTGACCTTAGATGGGGGTAGGGAGCCAAGGCCCCGCCCGGCAGCCCAGGCCCTGCCCCTCCGGGCCCCACCCCCAGGCCCCAGCCTCCACCCGGCCCCCGCGCAGCCCCAAACCCAGGCCCAACGACCCCGCGGTCCCCGCCCCTGCCCCTGCCCTACAGACTTGGCCTCCAGGCCCGGGGCCCCCCCAGCCCCAGCCCCAGGCTTGCCCTCAACCCCTGCCTCTCTGGGGCCCGGCGGCCCCGCAGTCCCAGTCCCAGTCCCAGCCCCAAGCCCCCAAGCCCCTGCCTCTCCGGGGCCCGCCCACCCCCCGGCCCCGGCCCCGGCCCCGGCCCCGGCCCCAAGCGCCTGCCTCTACCCTGCACTCAACCCCAGGCCCAAAGCCCCCAGCCTCTCCCCCACAGACTCAGCCCCAGGCCCGCTGCCGCGGGCCCCTGCCTCCCTCCCCGGCCCACCGGCCCCGCAGCCCAGCCCGCTCGCCCGTGGCCGTTGGGCGCAGGCCCGGCCCCCCGCGACCCCGCCCGCGGCCCCGCACCCTCCCGCGGCGCTCGACCGGGTCTCACCGAGATAGATGTCTCCGAAGGAGCCGCTGCCGATCTTGCGGCCCAGCCGGTACCTGTTCCCGACCCTCAACTCCATGACGGCGATACGGCTCGCTCCTGCCCGCCCGGCCGCTTCCTGGGTCTGCGCTCCGGGAGGCGGCGCCGCTGCTGCCGCTACTGCGGGTCCGGTCCGGCTCCGCCCCCCTCACGGCCCCGCTTTCACCATCGCTTTCCGGCCGCCCCGCCGCTCCCAGCGCCTCAATACGGGGCGGATGGGACAGTCCGAGCGCCGCCGCCGCTGCTCCGGCCCCTGCCGGCCCCGCTTGCCTTCTCCCCGCCGCGGATGGACTCGGATCTTCCGGGCCTAAGTCTCCCTTCAGCTGCCTAAAGGAGCCGCCGCCATCGCGCTGTGACGTCACTTCCCCTAGCAACCCGGAGGGGCGGGGCCACGCCGCTGGGGCGGGGAAGGGGCGGGGCCCGATGCTCCGGCCGGCGCTGGCGCATGCGCCCAGCCGCATCCGCTCTGGGCTCCGGGATCTGGGGCTTGTCCCGCCTGCCCACTGGCGGGCTCCCCTGGGTCGCGCGGGGCTTTGGGTTGCAAGTGTCAGGGAAGCCAGCCGGTCCTCTCGACAGACCTGGGAAAGGTGCCAGGCAGTGCCCTTTGCACGAGGACAGAGGGCCCCCCAGCCCTGGATCAGGGGTCATAAGTGTGCAGTCCACCCTGACAGGAGCTGCCATTTTCTGGACTTTGGGCGCTGCAGGACATCGGTACCTGCGGTGTTTGGCTGCCCACCCCTTCTCAGTACCAAGCGAAGGGGGAGGAAGAGCTGGCCTCCTGGTCCACCTCTGTCCACCTCTGGGGCCCTCAGAGTGGGCAATAAGATGGGTGGATGGTGAAACCACCCAGGGTGCAGAGGGTGAGGCCCAGCCGTCTGTCTCCTCTCCCTGCAGTGCCATCAGCCTGGACACGAAGTCAACATCTTTATCTGATCCTTGTTGAATGTGAACTTGCTCTGGAAAAAGCAAACAAGGATGTGGAAGTTCAAGTTGACAACTGGCTTCAGACGTAGGAATCCCCCAGAGAAGCCCCACACAGTAAGTGCAGGCACAGGCTCTCTCATCAGGCATCTCTGCTCACAGCCCAGCAGAAAACGAAGGGCCATCCAACAGCCTGACCGTTCGACAGCTTGATGCCTGAGTCGGAACATTTGGCACCTGCTCTGTGGATTAAAGCTCTTCTGTACCCACAGGGCAGCACCTGCCAGAAGTCCATTATCAATCGCTGGACATTTTGAGATGAGATAGTCACAGACTGTATAGTCAGCCAAGCTGGGCATGTGGCAGTAAGACAGACCCAGGCCCAGAGACTTAAAACATCAACAGTCTATGCCATGATGGCAGGGCATGGTGGTGCCTGCCTGTAACCCCAGCAGCTCAAAAGGCTGAGGCAGGAAGATCATGAGTTCAAAAGCCAGCCTCAGCAAAATCGAGGCACTAAGCAACTTAGACCCTGTCTCTAAATAAAATATAAATAAAATACAAAATAGGGCTGGGTACGTGGCTCAGTGGTACAGTGCCCCTGAGTTCAATCTCTGGTACCCACCCCCAAAAAAAAGAATTTATGCCATGAGACCAGAGGGAAGAAGCAGCCAACATCTCAGATATTGTGTCATCAAGTCTGAAGGAAGAGAGACACCTGGAAGTGTCTTGCTTTGTCTTTAACCTGCTTGTGGCCCTGATGCTTCTTGGGAGTCTGAAGGAATCACTGTGTGCTGGACAGATAGACCACCCATGTTCTGGCACATGTGACTAGCACTACGGCAGTATGTAGGGACCTCTGACATACAGAAGACCCACCAAAGGGGCACTTCTTAACCTTGCCTGTGGGGAGGATAAACTGCCCATGAGGGGTCCCTTGGGCTGGGCAGAGGCACAAAGTATCCATGGGGCACTACTCCCACAAAAAAACATGACCTCTCTTTCTGGGCAGGATCACCCCCAAAATGCCCCATGAACTGCTGCCACTGGCCTGTGCCTGGCTGGACTGTAAAGGGTGAGCATGGGGAGGTGAGCACAGTCTCACTGGTCTTAGCCAGGCCCCCTTTAGCTCTTCCCTCCCCATCCTCCTGGCTGGAAACCACCTTTGACCTTGCCTGGTCAGAGGCCAACTGACAACCACCAGGTCAGGTTGCCCTGAAAAAGAGAGTCCAGTTCAAGACGTTGCCTGAACTCCCTCACTCACAGCAGTGGAGTGAGTGGCTGTGGGATCCTGTGTGCTCCCGTCTGTCTTACTGCTGTCTGTCCAACACCTCCCCCCACCAGGCATCCCAGGCCCCCCACAACCTGCTCTTGGTCCCAGCATCCCTCTGACCTGACAGCAACTCCTCGTGCTTTCTTCTTAGTGACTGGTGTCAATTCTCTCCTGGCAGCTTGCCAACCCTTGGGTGTGGGAGTTAAGGTCATAATTCTGCACTAGGATCCAGATCATTTCTGACTGGGATAGAACCTGACTTCAGGAACCACACCAGCACCTTCTTTCTCCTTCCACTACTATGCCCCCACAAGCTCAGCTTGCAGCTAGAGCAGTCCCAAACTGACCACCTGAAAAGCTGAGCATGCCCCCAGACACTGCAAGGAGTGCTTGGTAGATGCTGCCCCCCACACAGTTGGGGGCCTCCGATTTGTGGGCCATGTTCTGTAAGCCCTGGATCATCTTGCAGTACCCTGTGTTTCCCTTAGTGACGGAGAGATGATAACCCTGGGGACCTCCAGCCTGTGCTGAGGGGGCCTCAGCCTGGGGTCAGCCTGCTTGCAGACTCCAGGTCAGACTCACTCACTCACACTTCCACGTGACAGGAGAGGTCTCCAGAACCTTGGTGGGTCTCTATGGCCAGCAGCGAGGAGTTAACCCCCTGTGTGGTGTTTGAAGCTCTCTGCTGACTGATGTCCTAGCCCCTGCCCCAGTAACTACTCTTATTCCCTTCAGTCTGCTGTTTGAACCATAGCCAGATTTTGCAAAAAAGGGCCATCCCACCTTTCCCTGCTGCTCCTTTGCTGACTTTGCAGAGAGATCCTGTGCCCCACTCACCTACTGCAAAGCCAAGGCCTGGATGCCCCTCAGTCTTGCCCACACTCTAAGTAGAGCCACCATGTGGAGAGAGCAAAATGGGAGGTAGCAGGATCCTGGTGGGGATGATCAGGGGAGGCCTGCCTCTGCCCCAAACTGGTGGTCCTGGGCAGCTGGCAGGTCATCATCAAGGCTGTGGGTTATGGTCTGAATGTGTCCCTCACAGTTCAGGTGCTGTGGACAATGCCAGTGGGACAGAGCTGCAAGGCAGGCCCTTCAGAAAGTGATCAGGACAGGACGGTTCTGGGCTCAAGTAGACCCAGGAGTGGCTCCTGGCACAAGGGGGTACTTAGGCGCCTCCACCCCTCACACATGTCCTTTGGCCTTCTACCTTCCACAGGGGGATGGCACAGAAGGCCCTTGCCAGATGCAAGCCTCTTGACCTTGGGCTCTTCAGCCTCCAAAGGGTAAGAAATTTATCTCTGCTCGTTGATTGGCCCCTGATCCCTCAGTGATGGGCATGAAACCAGAGCCTGGCGCATGCTAGGCAAATGCCCTATCCCCAGCTCTATTCCTTATAGATCACCCAGTGGGTGGTAGGTGGGGGGCCACTCTGAATGACCCAGCCTGCACATACTGAAGCAAGAGGCTCTGACCAATCCCTACATTTCACAGTGACTTGGACCTTGTCCCCATTCAAGAAGTTGAGGGCGTGACTTCAGATGTAGGTGTGTCACCCATGGGGTCGAGCTGTGCTCACCTGTTCCTTTGTGATATTAACCCCTTGCCCTGTTTGGGATAGAATGTTCCATGGAAGCCCCCTTTGTGTGTCCCCTTCTCTTGCTCTGACTTTGGGTGTGGCCTACCCAGGTGTCAGTCAGTCTGCTGACAGTGGACATCAGGAAGCTGGACTCATCTCCCTAAAACCTGACCCCTTGCCTCATTTGAGTGGCTTCTCCCCAATAAAAGGGGTCGGCACCTGCTCTCTCTCTCTCTCTCTCTCTTTCTGCAGACCCTTAAGGTCAGAGGAGCCGTCACAGGACCAAAAGGAAAAGGTATCTCTGTCTCTTGTGTGGTTATTTCATGCAGCCCAGTTCACCTGGAGTGACCCTGAGTGTTTTAGTCGTGAGGAATGTGACAGTAGTATTCTGTTCCAACAGCAAAAAACGGATTTGCATTAGTGGCTTTTTTTTTTTAGTTGTGTATGGACAGAATGCTTTTATTTTGTTTATTTTTATGTGGTGCTGAGGATCAGACCCAGTGCCTCAGACATACTAGGCAAGTGTTCTGCCACTGAGCTGCAGCCCCAGCCCCTGCACTAGTGGCTTTTTGAGACTGGCTCATACCCACTGGAGCCCAAGGCCCTAGCCTCTGCCCCTGGGTCCTGATGTGACTAGCCCTCTTGGCTGCGGAACTTTGTGACTGGCCCTGGTCTGGGCTTCATGGAACACCCTGGGTGTTGGGATTAAAGACCTGGTGGCTGCTTCCTCTGGGCCCTTGCTCCAAGTTCAGGGAGCTCCTGGTGGCAACTGGGAGACTGTTGTGGGAGGGAGGTATGGAGAGCAGGCTAGAGGCCAGGAAGTGTGTGGGGGGCACAGGAAATGGGCAGTCAGCCCCTGGAGGTGATGTGGAGCTGTGGACAGCCTGGGGAGCTTAGGAGCCTGTGCCTTTGTCTGTGGTGGAACTCTGGGGACCTGCTCTTGCCTGGTGGGTAGGAAAGGCAGCCAGTCCAGGGAACTTCCTGGAGCTTGAGGAGGGTCCACATAAGCTGGGAGTAGTGGACCTGACATCGGGGTGCTCTTTTCCCTGCCCCCAGGGAACCCCTGGAAGAAACCTCTGGGAGACCATTTCTGGCTGGATTATTTCCCCTTTTACTTGCAGGCTTTGGTCTGAGCCCCCGGGGGTAGCATGACCTGATAGGGTCCCTGTCCTTGTCGAAGGTGGGGTGAAGATGGACAAGCCCACCCACATACAAGTGAGTACAGTTGCTGGCTGGACAGAGGCTATGGGGGAACCCAGAAGGGCTGCTGTTAGCAGCTTCTGGCAGCTTCCAGGGGCTCACTAAGGTCCCAAGGACAAAGAGTAGCCTTAGCCAGAGGGAGAGGGGTTAGGGTGAAGGTCCATGGTGCGATGTAGGGTGTTCCAAGAGAGAGAGGTGGGGTATGTGCATGTTGAATGAAGCTAACACCCAGCCAAAGGCCGAGGGTAAGGCCAGGAAGTGCTGGGGTCACCTAGGGCTCAGGTGAGACCCAGACATCTAGGGGACCCAAGGAAAAAAGTCCTTTAGGTTCTCAGAGCTTGGTGGCAACCCTGATGACTAACTGGGCAGAGGAAAGCAATCCCTGACCCACACCAGAGCAACGGAAGTGAGTTCATGTCTTAACCTCCTTAGATCCATCCCAGCTCAACTGAGGCCTGACAGAGCCCAGGGCTGTGGTGCCGGGTTCCCGGGTGCACTACCCAAGACAGCAGCCACTGGCCATGTGGAACTAAAGTAGAGAAGCAGCTGCTCAGCCTCAAACCACGTTCCAACCTCAGTGATACCTGGGTTTGGCAGCACAGCTGCACAGTCTGCCAGAGACCAGGTGTCTCAGCTGGGGCTGATTTTGCTCCCTGCCACAGGGAATGGCCCAGTAGGGCCAAGACAAAGAGCTCCTGCCAGACCCAGCCCCCAACTGCAGCAACCCCTGGCCATGCAAAGGTGGCCTCAGTGGAACGGACTCCTGCTGAGGCTTTGGGTCAGGTGAGCATGGACCCCCGAAGAGGCCAGGCAGTGGCAGGAGTTCTACTATGCTAGCCCTGGACAAGGTAGAGGTGGCCCACGTTGTGGATATTTGAGGCAGGGGCTGTGCTCTCTGAATGGAGATGGTTCAGGTCTGACATTAGAGTCTGAGCTAGAATGCTCATCCCAATACTGGATGCTTGGACCTGACTGGCCCTTGGGCTGGGTGCAGCTCCGGTCTTTGTGGGCAAAGGTGTCCCAGGGTTCCCTGGCCCAGGATTTCATTCCTGGCTCAGGAACATCCCTCCCTCTGCCTTGGCATTGTGAGAAGCCCCATACCCCCCTGAGCTCAGGCAGACCACAGAGCCCCGTGGGTGGGCTTCCCTAGGAAGCTGGAATTAACCAAGGTTCTTGGCGTCTGCCCCACTCTCCCACAGGACACTGTCCATATGCTCTCTCCTCCGGACAAGAAGAGCTCTGCGCTAGTGGGGACGATGGGTCCTTTCTGCTGCCCTCGTCTGTGGCAATGGACAGTGGCCCCCTAGCAGGATGGCATCCTTTCCTGCAGACCCTGAAGAGGAGGGACCAGGAGCCCTCCAGGGCTTGGCCTGCCTCTTGCACAAGGCCAGGGAGGCGCAGCAACCCACATGGCAGCAAGAAGCTCTTCAGCTCTGTTGACCATGGGTGAGTGCAAGGGTTCCATGGAGAGGAGGCCTGCGGGGCACGGGGGAGCCCTAGAGTGGTGGAGAGCCAGCTGGGCTTGCAGTCTGGGGTCTGGGTGCTCCAGGCTTTGAGGCAATGGCAGGCACTTGGCCCAGAGACTTCCAGACTCGGGTTCTAACCACCATCCCCATCAGAGGCTCTCAGCAGGCTTGCTATCCAACCCTGTCCTGATCACTTCTTGGAAACATCAGAGGCCCGTCTGTCCAAGCAGTGGACAGAATGACCACTGGTGCTGCCCATCAGCTTCCTGGTCCCCCATGTGGACTGTGCATACTGACTGTACAGTATGAGGAGTTGGGGGAAAGAATCCTTCATTGGAGTACTGCCTCTTGAAACGATGAGATGGGAAAGGCACTTTGTCTCTGTGATCTTCCTTCCCTAATATCCCAAGCCCCAGTCAAAACAGGAGGAAAACATCAGGCAAATCCCAGCAGAGGGACAACTGACCAGTAAAAACAACTGACCAGTGCTCCTAACTGTGAAGACCAGAACAATGAAAAGTCTGAGAAAAGCATAGCCATGAGGAGACAGGACAAGTAAGTGTCACGTGGGATCCTGGATGGGATCCTGGAGAGAAAAGCATCTCGGGGAACCTGGATGAAGTATAAGCTTTAGTGATGTACCAACACTGGCCCTAATGGAAGCTGTTAACAGAAGGGAAACTGAGTGTGGGGTCACGGGAACTCTCTGATATCTCCACAGCTGATCTGTAAACCTAAATTCACTCTAAACTAAAAATGTTACCAAAAAAATGTTTAAAAATTGCTTTAGGGCTGGGGATGTGGCTCAAGCGGTAGCGTGCCCGTCTGGGGTTCGATCCTCAGCACCACATACCAACAAAGATGTTGTGTCCGCCGAGAACTAGAAAATAAATATTAAAAAAAAAATTCAAAAAAAAAAAATAAAATAAATAAAAATTGCTTTAGTTTTCCGATTGTTCCCACAACAAGCTAAAGGTCTTCCCTGTTACTCCCAGCTTGCTAATAACAATGGGTCTTTAAATCTATCATTTCTTGAGATGATAAAATAGAAGCACACAAAACACATCAACAGGGTTGCCCGTGGGTCAGGGGAATGAGCAAGGAATGATTCAGTGGAGTGCTGAGATGGAATCATATTCCATGACCCAGGGGGCTGAGGGCCATTGCCAAGTAGGAATGACGCATCGAAATTTCTTGCCAGCGTACCCCATGTTAAATGGACTTGCCTTGGAAATTTGCTGTGACATTGCATGTGTGTTTGAGAAAGGTGACCCTGCTCAAGGACGAGGGTGGATCCAGGTTTAGGGTGTATCCTGCAGGTTTTAGGAAGTATCCCGGTTTAGGATAATTTGGGTTTAAGGCGTTCCCGGTTTAAGACAATCTGGGTTTAGGGAAGTTCCAGGTTTAAGGTTATTGCTGCTGGGAATAGGGCGTTCCTGCTGCCTGAGTTCCCGTTGAGCTCTCGTGGAATTCAGAAAGTATTTAGGATGTGAATTGTGCGGGAGAACTTGGATTTCCTCAGAACGTGTTTGTACAGGGCCGGTGTGAGTTCGGGAATAAAGAATTGCTGTTTGAATCTACAAGGTGTGTGGTGGCTCGTGATTTTGTGCCCAGCCAAGACTGCGGCACCAGGGACTGCCTAAAGTAGGTCCATCAAAAGAAAGAAAGAAGGAAGCCAGGCAAGGGTCCCACCTGTGGTCCCAATACCCAGGAGCTGAGGCAGGAGGATCGAAAGTTCAAGGTCAGCTAGGACAACTCAGTGAGACCCTATCTCAAAATAATTTTTAAAAACGGGCTGGGGATGTAGCTTAATGGTAGAGTGTTTGCCTAGCATATGCGAGGTCCTGGGTCTAAACCCCCAGCACTGCAAAAACAAAACAAAACACAAATAAAAGAAGAAAATTGGTTGTAAGATAGAAAGCTGGTGAGCCAGCTGCAGAGCCTCACTGACTTTCTGGAGAGCATCTGTTGACTTGGCAGGGAGAAGACTGGCCACTCGATGCACCAGCCACAGGATACCCACTGTGAAGTTATGGGAGATGATGAAAAAATAGGGGCTGGGATTGTGGCTTAACGGTAGAGCGCTTGCCTAGCATGTGTGGGGCCCTGGGTTCGATCCTCAGCACCACATGAAAGTAAACAAATGGAATAGGGGTATTGTGTCCAACTATAAAAAAAAAGAAAAACAACAGAAATTAATGTCACAATTTAAGAAACACTCAAATAGAACTATTTTTAAATATGGAAAGAGAACTAGTAAGTATGGAATAAAGAAAAATTTGGACAATAATACACTCTTGAAAGATCTGGGTGTGTTAGGCCTAAAATCAT